CATTTGAATAATACATGTTCAGGCACAATGTGGAATGACACCAGGTTTTACTCATATGTGTAATTACTTATTATGTTTACATGTTGTTCAATAAAGACCAATATAGTTATTATTTTAGTCCTTATTAAGCAACTATTGATAACACATTTGGATATTGACTTGCAAAATAAAGAGACATTGGCTAAGTGAGGGTTAATACATTGTTATGCTGAACTTGTTGATGTGACGGGTTGATTTTGTTGCGCATGCTTTATGAGAACATTTTTGCAAGCAAATATTATTTAAGTATATTCATTGACAAGTATTATTCAAATGCTGGAAAACCACAACAAATATAAAGATTTGATAGAAAACAAAGAAAAAACATTGTTCAGGCTATTTCTGCATTATATAATTATAATGTTTTCAAATATTAACATCAAATTATATATACAGCTTATAATGATCAAATTATTATGTAACTATGCTGTGCATTACCCCTTTAAGTTTTTTATGAACTGGAGACACTTTTCTCAAATCCAAAATTTTGCAACATTAGTGTTTAAGTAGTTCGAAAACTATTTTCCTGGATTTCAATTATTTCAAATTTTTAACAGGTGATAAAACACATATTGAAGCTAATTTTAAGTAAATCAAAATGGATGACAAGACTACTATCATACAAAGTTTTTATATTTGAAAATGTTACAAATCTACTACTTTTCCCCTTAAACTATCTATATACCAATATACCAATCGAAATTTGAATAATGTTTCAGGAAGGTAACAAAATAAGAATTTATGAAAAAGTTGGTACAAGAACATGTCATTGACGCATGTTTTGACATATGGTCAGTTCACTGAACATGTGGGCCCTTTGGACCTTTTTAATCTAAAAGATGAAAATTCAGGTGTATATTTTGCATTGCCATTTATAGTACTACAAACATGCAAAGTTTGGAAAAAATCCGGGTGTGGGTGGTTTCTATGGGAAGTTTAACATTAGCTGGAACACCACCTTAAATAGGTTAAAATGTACATGTATTATACCTATACGCTATAATGATATACCAAATTATTAATCATAAACTATTCTCTATAAGCAACAGTTGTTTACGTGTTCATATTACATTTGTCTTGCGGTGTCATACAAAATGGTCAAACTACTCAAACTAGAATCAATAGTCATTTCTTTGTATGATACGAATGCCATGCTATGATATTATAATATCTAGCTAGTTGCTATAGAACGATCAAAACTATTTCTGGTAAAATAATCTGCCTTTAAACTTTTCAAAGATGAACGCAAGATACACATATGTGATTTCACCTATCAAATTTGGTAATTGAATTACACTGCATCATAACAGCTGTTGCGTCTCCCTCCGTGATGCTATAGGCCAAAAAAATGAAAATTCAAACTGATCTTAAGAAATAAAATACAGTTCCTGTAACTGTATATAAACTGGAAAAGTCACCGTGTCTAAATTATATAATAGATAATAAAATTGACGCTTCTTTTGAACACTAGCCACCTGTGGAAATTCATATTTGTTCATACAGTATGCATACATTCTGCAATAAATAATATCGTCAGTCTGCCAAAATGAACCAGATCTTTCATGTTGAAATAAGATCCATCCGAAAGTCACTTTTTCGCAACTAAAATGAACGTCCAAATGTTATATTTGTCAATATGTAACTTTGAGAACTAATTTTGGTTGAGGTGTCCATCCCAGATAAGTGTTCATCTGGTTGTATATGTGTGCTAGCAAATTTCCCTTTTTTATTTGAGCTGGAATTATTTCCGCGAGTAGTCATAAAGTTAAAACATCAACGATGTATTGTGGGTTTGTTGTTCTTCGAGAATAATTTGGCAATACTGCTACATCACACCATTTATATATTTTGTTTGATACCGTGCAAGTGATTGTAGTTATGTGACAATCTGAATGTCACTTCCTGGTACCTTTTAATAACTTTTTATAGGATTTGTCATATAATTCTATTGTACGTGTTTGCGAGGCGGTCTTGCGGGCTATAAATGTATGTGATTGGTTAGGCGTGGGCAATAGTTCTTGCATTTGAATTTCACACACTTTATTTCGCGAACTAAGTTAGAAAAGTAAAAATCAAAATACAAAACCATGAAAATTACGATGATGTTGTCAACCAACAGAAAACAATGTTATGAAGGACTAAACAACACATTGTCAAAGGATTGTAACAACAAACGATCAATCGTTAACATAGATTTCGTTCAATAATAAAGAAATGTTTCAAGTGAGGGAAAATGTTCCTACTCAACACGTCAATCTGACAAAGCAGGTATATTGATACAAAATTGACACAATTCGAAGCTCAGTTTTCAATTACTAGGTAGAGTGCTCAACTGTAAAATGAATAAAGGTGTCGCGTTGTCGCCATAACTCTATCATCCCGCCGCAGCAGTGACAGTGAAGGCTGAATTTTATGGTTTCCGTGTATGATATTGCTCGGTACTGATGTAGGAGACGACGTGCGCGGTCGACACATGACGTATTGCGGTGGAAACAAACTAGCGTATCAGATTAGTCCATTGTGTATAAAAACCCAACAGTAAAGTGAAACATTGCCAAGTCACAGTCAACACTGATAGTCTACATATCTAATTAGATTACATTGATGTTATTAATTAAAAGAAATACATGTACTTCAGAAAAAATTATATGTATATATCTACTTAAAAATAACGTTATACTCTGTACAAAGAGATGTTACCAACATACATTATAAAATAAAGGATTGACACAAATTAAAAGAATAAAAGCGATTCAATTTTCCGTCTTTGCATTGAAAAATAGGTTTTATACGTATTTCACATAGAACAATATATACATGAAATTGTCCATTATATCACAGGATGTTTCGTTTTGTTTGAAGCCTTTAATTGTTGTTAAACACCAAATGTATATTATTACAAGTTATATTCACATCGTTTACAGTTTACACGGTATATTTTGTAATTATGTCTCAAACAGGCTCCATCGTGAGCTTCACATGTTCACATCGTTTACAGTTTACAAGGTATATTTTGTAATTATGTCTCAGACAGGCGCCATCGTGAGCTTTACATGTTGATAGTTACCGATTTATGGTCAACAATTAACAAACATCTCCAACAAAAGTGTAGTATATGTGTAAATATAAACTTAAACTTTATTTCAAATTATATAAATCACTCTTGTTGGCCCGGATGTTAGCGCGTGAGGGTCTTAGTGTTGGAGGAAACCGGAGTACCCGGAGAAAACCCATGGTTGGTGCAGGTGACCCTAACCTTTTCACGTCCGATCGGGGAATCGAACCCCGGCCACCTTGATGAAAGGCAACTGCGCTATCCACTGCACCACCCGACCATTCTAAGCATCAGAGTTGTCTGCCTAATTACCCGCCATAGTTAAACACAAACATATGTTCTTTGTCGTAATGTGTTAATCACTCATATGCCTTCCTTTTCTGGCTCTTCGCGGTTAGTGGCATTTTCTTTTTATTTCTCAGTTTTGTTTGATTCAGTTTTGTTTGATTCAGTTTTGTTTGATTCAGTTTTGTTTTATATATTTTGATTTCCGATTGCTAGGCACATGTCTTTTTTTGTATTTAACCGTAAACCATAATATCAACACAATAACAACAGTTTACAGAGCGATTTATCCGGGAAAATCTAATATGTGTCACAAATATGCTGGATTAGTCCTCTTATTGTTGTTATTCAGCAAATTCATCCATACCAAGGTATGCAATCACATGTCACTTTGAACTGTATATATAGCGGTATCTTTTAAGTGAACTGATCATTTTCCTATTAGCTAATAATTATTCGAATAAAGAATGAGCACATGAATGATCAAACGTCTTCTATAGAAAAAATTTAAGCAGAGGGATCAATTCTTTCTACCACCTGCGATGCTTTATTTACTGATACATGGAAGTGTCCAGGTATCGTACTGAAATAGTTAATCCTGTAATGTGATAAGTATCTGTCAATCGTGTTTGGGCCGGGAGCGTTGATGACTGGCGTTTTTCATCAAATCCGGCTTATGTCTTGGATAACCTGACAAACTAGTACACGGCTTATTTTCTAAATAATCTGACATAATAGTACACATATTTTCAAATCAGGTTTATTCCGGATTTTAGGGTACTTGTTAATATATCCTGAACGTGAATAAAAATATGAAAATCAAGTTCATATAATTTGTCTGTCTGCATTATTTTTCTAATAAGACTTAAGTTAAGTTCATATAAAAATACCGATGGACTAATAGCACTGCTTAGCTAGTCTCCAACGAGTCTTCTACTAATCAGGAATGCATATGTGATGTTATGATGCTGATACTCTTAAGTTTAGGTGAAGTACGTTTTACAAATAAACTTTTAATTTACTTTCTGTAAAGCCAAGTATGAATGGCGGATCATTTAACGTACTGATGTACCTCCACAATAAATGGAAGTCAATCCCAATATGATTTATGAAAAAACAACCGACAGGTTCTCTTCTAAGTCAATAAATAGTTCTACTTAACGTATTTCATTCTATATTAGCAATACAATAGTGTACTCGGAGCCTAATGATTTATCTGAAAGGTCATGACCGCATGATTCATGTTTACGGCTTTTGGAATGATATTAGATATTAATTTGACAACATACAAACATGGACAAATTAAATTAGTGATCATAACAAATATGTCATCTTCGTTATATTTATCTGCCATTTATCCCATGTAGTACATGTAGTTCATGAAGCTGGGTTCCCTTCAGTGTAAACTATGGTGTAACAATGCCTGTGGAAGATTGGTCGTGTAGGGTCTTTTTCAAAAAGTTAACTGTAGAATTTTTCAAAATTTCCTTGTTATCAAGCGTTTTGCGTTTATCTACCTCAAGTTCACCACTTGAAATACTATTTATGTTATACCACGTGTACCTCTTAGATAAAAAAAAAAAAACACGCACATATACATTTTTTTTTATTTATTTCCTCAAGATGGTTTTTTTACGATAATATGTCTTCGGTTACATACTTAAAGAAGGGATTTGCGATAACAACAGTATGTTTCATAAGTGATAACTGATTTGTGTTTATGTATTTTATGTTGTAGTATTGGTTTCATAGTGCCCTGAATTGTCTTGAAAAGGGAGTGAATTGCCCTAAAAATCTGCCAAATTCCCTTCTCTGCACTGTTCTTATTATTTTGCGTATATATCCATTGCAGTAATACGTATCCAACGAACGTTTGTTTCTTCGGATCCAGTGTCCATATTGGATTATATTGTCGTTATTACGAATGAGACATATTCCTGTATGCATATCTAGATGTAGATGTATCTGAAAATACTCGAAGCGGTAACAAGTATCACGTGGAATTACGCATAATGGATATCGCAGCCCAGACAATCATCGCGCTTCTGTGTTGCCTACGACGTCATTTTAAATGTGTATTGGCGTTATCGCATTATTTTATTTGATGGGGCAAGATCAAAATTGATATATCAATATCAGATAGCACAATCGGGTGATTTTTCTATCAATGTCCGGTACACATTTTCCTTCATTTCACTTCATGTTTTATTCTTAATTTAATTGAGTTAAATGTATTATATTCTTCTTCATTGTTATTATTACCAACGACAAAGGGGGGATGAGTTGACAGCTAAACGGTTCATTGTACATGTATGTTGTAAGAGCTGATTTTCTTTAATCTGCTTAAACATATGTATGGTACTGATCTATTGACGAAATATGTTTATCTCGTTTTGTGACGACGTAAATGGTTCGATTATTTCTATGTGCGATGACAATGTGGGAAATGTACAACACAACGAATATCCATCTCAGTCTCCATCATTTTATATTGACTACTATGTGTTATATAAATAAGATTCCAATCGCTATTTCGCCCATTAGGTAATACTTATAGGCTCACCTTCGTATTGCAACATCGAATTTCTATTGGCATAAATCTAACACACAATAAAAGCCACTCTATATATCAAAATTAATTATCAAATTATATCATGTATTAAAATGTTATTTGATAGACACTTTTAGGAATTAAGGTTTACAACTTAATAAATATAATAATTGTTTAATCTGTTTTAAGTACCATTGCGCTACTCTTGTTGAGGTATGTGATAAGTTTACACCAATCAATAGAGAGTAAGTCGAAAAAACTAATCACACACTATATCATAGTATCATATTTGTTAAACAACGTTTAGCTTATCAGTTAACGATGTGCAAGCACACGTTGTGATCTAGTTATCTTAGGGAGACCGCTACTTTTCCAGGGATCATTGGATATCTAGATCTTAGGTGCTCTTCATTGGGTTTTGGGAGCAAAATTTGAGTGTTGGATGCATTTAATAATTAAGACTTTTTTTACAAAGTTATTATTTATTTAAGGAACCCTTTTAAGAATTTCTTCCATCAAGACGGTACATCACTATTTCGGTTTCGAACTACACATAATTAATACAATAATATTGAATTAAATATAATATTTATGAATACTGTATGTGTATGGAACTGCTTCTTTGCTTACATGACAGGACACCTACGCCCCTGTAAAAATCAAATTACAAAAGCACACTGATCAATATAGTGTCTTGAAAGGTTAGTACATTTTATAATTGAAATAGACTGTTACGTACTCCCCCTCAACAACCGATGTAATAACAAAAGTTCATCGTATGTATGATCATCAAAAATATGAACAAACCCGACCAAATGCAACTCACGTTATAAACCTTTAATGTCCTGGATAATCACAACGTATGGTCGCTATCTAGGGTGAAAAAGGAAAGACAAAAATATAGGAGTAAATTGCCTGTCAATACTTTCATTTAACGTTCTGACGTTTCAGGAGTCCGACAGTCGTTTTTTTTTATAAAATTTACAGACAATTTCCCAGCAAGATAGTACAATGTCACCATTATTGAAAAAAGAAGTAATATCAATAGGTTCCCAGAATTTGAGAGGGGACGTGAATCATCTTGCCATCATTGTACTGTACAGGATAGACTCTAGGATAATCTGAGTTATCGTTCCTGACATAGTATAATGTGACGTAAACAGAATGTATTTTTGTCATGTAAGGCTAAACGAGTAGTCGCTCTTGAATGATTGACGCAGAGTAGTTTTTTCTTATGTTATTTCATACTATTTTCCTTTAACAAATATCCTATCTTTATTTTTGAGGGATACTAATTTTCGCATTATATAACGAAACAACGCATTTGCTAACATCAATCTTATGCAAATAGAAATTGCATAGCTAGTTGCTCTCAATATCAAAATATCACCACCTGAGTTGGAAAATTCAATAAATCTGCACCGTATCTAAGTTAAAGTTCACACGAATACAAAACGATTTACAGTATTTTTCTCTATAGCCTCGACTTGATAACTTGTTGATAAGATGAAGAAACTAGCGGTGAAAATGTTTTGTTTTCTACATCCACACAATACAGAGGGTCGCTTGTGAGGTCAGGGTTATAACCCTCTTTAACAAGGTCAACCTTTCTATGCTTCATTGTTTGGGTAACCTCGAAATTGGCCTGAAACCGTAGAAATATAGGCCGAGCATACCCTGGAAGTGACTTTGCGCATTTCCGGTAGATTTGCTGCAGTATTTCCGGTGTTACGGAAACGTCATCCTTTAACAAAATAGCTGCCATTCCTGCTTTCCCATCATTATCTACAAAATAAAAAGTTCCTTTGGTCAGTCATAGTATGACTGGATGTACTTAATAGACACAAGTATAAACATACGTGTTATTACGCATTAAAGTTTAAGTAAAATGGATGCAAACACATGAATGCATATACAGATGACTTTTGTAACAATTTATAAATAATAATATCATAATTCTATTTTTACTTCACTGTGACACTTTCACTTTATAAAGTCATTTAAGTAATTGCTATTCATATCGATTGTATATGCTATTTCCCACAAACTGTTTTTATTATTATAAGGACGACCTAATTGTAACGGTGAACGTCGTATACAGCTCACCCTCCTTTGAAGATGTCTGTTCTATTCACATACCAACCATACGCGGTACATACATTTAATTGAACATGTATGATAAACTAATTTCAACTTTTATAATGTTAATGCAGATGTATTAAAAACAGAAAAAATAGGTTAATATAGGTATTGAATGACATTTAATTGGTAATCATAGTCATTTGAATACCAACTAGAACGAGAAAATTAGGCATAAAGCCTACTTACACAGTTTTACACATTCCAGAAAGTATTCATATCGAAGATGGATGTAAACCAAAACAGTTAAATATTTAACAATAACGCTAAATAAAACAATAAGAATAATAATCTTCGCCATAAAGATTCTATACTAACCCGGTACTTCTACACCGTACACGTTGATATCCTGTATAAACGACAGGGTACTCAACACTTCAGCTACCTCACGTGTAGACACGTTTTCACTTTTCCAACTGTAACGTAAAAACATACCATGAACACTTAAATCATTTCCATAATGTTTGTTAACAAACATTAAAAGTACAGTTTATAGTGTAACGACAATAATAAAACAATCATTCATGCTGATCAATACAGGAGGCTAGGTTACGCATGCATGTCATTTCAATGTTCAAGCTCAAAGTCAGTAGTTGTTCGAGTAAAATTAGATTGACACCAGGAGAAAAATACTAAGTTATGAACACTATCGTTTTCTACACATTCCCAAAATATGCAGTGGTGACGAACACAGTAAACAGAAACAATACTTTAACATAAATCATTGTCTTTATGTACAGGATTCATGTTTCCTGAATAGAATCATTACTGATACATGCATTTGCCGTGTTTGTGTGTTACTTGCCGAAATGTGTCCCCCAGTCTGTCCCGGAAGTACAAATAATAGTCTTTGTCAATGGCAACTACGTCACCAAAATTAAAGTAGGCGTCGTCTTTGACAAATACGTCCCGGAGGAACTTTTTCTCATTAATCGCCTTGGATCCCAGGTAGAATTGTGTCGTAGTTTCCGGTACGGCAGAAATGATCAAACCGTTTTCGCCTGTTGATGTTACATTTCTTAATACAATGAAATACATATACTGTATATTTTATTGAATAACATCTTTCGATTTTGTGGATTACATACCAATTGTCCATGTGCCAAGTTACATGTACTTTACTGAAGTTCTAGTTTACCTGCTCAGTACATTATTTATGTAATACATTTTCAGATCACTTCGTAAAAATGTTTCTTACATTAATCTATCTATTTACAGTCCTGCCTATCAAACTTAGTTTTATATAATTAATTTTACATTTATTTTATGTAACGACAGTAAACCCTACCTATATTAAATATTTCAATATTTTCCACGTTTTGAAATTTCCGATGACAAACTTTACAAACTTTAAACAAATTAAAATCAATTGGATGACAGCAACGGTAATATCTCATAGATTTTCAACAGATCTAGGTATATAAACCTGCGCCGCAGTCAATGCAGTATCCGTCCTTTCCCCTGATTGGTTCCTCTGTTATCCTATCAAAACGTATCACACGCACCGGTACACTCATCTTGTATTTGGAAGCCAGTCGCTATAACAGAAAAAGCTCATACACTATTATACTTATCGATAAGACAATGCGAAGATAATAAAAGCTGAAAACATTCATTTACTGGCATCTGGTTGATGAAAAACATCAGTTGGGTTTTAGTTACATGAAGAGAGAAAACCCTTACTTGAGTAAATCGCTGTATAAATTCAGTGTGATATTTCAATATAGTAAATGTTATAAATAGATGTCAATTATTGTCCCCGACTTCATTATGTTTGACTTGAACATATCACCATCAGTGGTGATATCCTGCCGATGGCCCCCACTCTGTTGGTGAGGTTAATTGTGATTGATGTCCCCTCGGTAGCCCCAAAATGTTCAACGATCATAGGAATCTTGAAACGGTCCTGAAACGTCTTCCATACATCCAATCGAAGACCGTTCCCCATTGCAACTCGAATATTGTGAACTCCATCAAGTGGTGACTGTAACGAAATAAATAATGATTCCACTAAATAAACCTTGTTATTAACAAACAGTAAATTAATGTTTTAGTTGATTCAATAAAAGGAACATCATTCGTTAGGACAATTAGAACATACATGTACCCTAGCTTCAAACTTTAAAACTCAATGTAACGGTAACCAAGGACGCTTAGTAGAAATGAATATATAAATAAATAAATAAATAAGGCTTTTTCAGAAAAAGCAACTGTATCCAGGTGGGGTTTTTTTTGGGGGGGGGGGGGGAAAGGGACCAAAAATGATCTTTAGATGCACTTGGAATTTGTATCTGTTATTTTGCTCTTCTATGCTCTCTTTTTTGCGGCAGTGGTTCCTGAAGAACTCATCTTAATATGAAGAAGTGAGAGATGTAATTAGATGACCTATGTTATTGTGAGGACGTTAAACTACAGACAACCAATACAATATCTCCATGTAAATCTTTTATTTTTACACATCTGTATTCTTTAATATTTTCTTATTCCTCAAGGGAATTTAGAAATTCCAGATACTTAGAAAAAGCTCTGTAGTAGAGAAGAAATTATAATCTTAACTCCATAAAAAATGTCAGAAATACTATTCATACCTCAGGAACTTTTAGAATATACCGGAAGAGTTCTCCAATGTAATGCACCACGGTGACTTTGTACTTGCGACAATCTTCCCAGTAATGGCGGGCGGAGAACTTCCGGCGTAGTGCCATGGTACAACCTGGGTTACAATGGATAATATAGGAGATTATACACGTAACGCGGCTACAGTACTGGTGAATTCTATTGGTAAATCCTTAACCTAATAAGTTATCAAATTGTCCATAGTAATACGAGTCAATTCACTTCTCTTAACCTTTTAAGGGATATGTTATCAGCATGTATCATATACTTGCTTGAAATATCGACCAAATTGAATATATAATTCCAATTATCGATATTGCCCGCCCGTGTAATAACATGTCGATATCAGACCGCATCCGGTGATATCAGCCCGCTTTCGGATATATCAGCCCGCATCCGGGTCTTCAACATAGACCGGTCCGGTGACCGCTTCACATTTTAGAGGTTTGTTGTTGTTGTCGTCTGCACCTCTCGTCTACAATGGAGTCTCATGGAGGCAGTACTCGAGTCGTTAGCTCAACGAATACTTGAATTAGATGAACTTATCGACAACGAAAATGATCAAAGGTTTCAAGAGGCAAGGTTTGTTAACATCGAAATGGGGGACACCGGTAGTTTTGACGACAGCAGGGATAATGGCAACACGATGCGGAAAACTATTTGTTTTAATGTGTTTCTTTTCATTAGTAAAAGGTGTATGATAAAAATGTTAAAACATGCCTATTGGCCCTCAACCTATATCAGGCCCGCAGGCCTTCGGCCCTTTGGCCTGATATAGGTAGCTCGGGTCAATTTGGGGTCTGATATGAAAACAGGCCTTTTAATAACCACTAAATACTAACTACAATTAACACGCGTCGAACCCGGATGTGCTATCAGGAGAGGATTAGTCTACCAGTGTCGGGTGCAGGCTGTTAAGGAACTACAGACACCTGGCTACCGTTGGTTCTTGGTTGATATGCAGATGTTTATATTTACATTCTGTATGCGTAGACCCATTGACAAAAATTACATTCATAAATGCATAACACAGGTGTTCATAGAATCTCAGCACGTGGGAACTGATAGTAACCTGATCACACTGCGTAGTAATACACTACAAAAACTACTCACTTGGAACGACCGAACTAGATGCTTAATTCTTACATCTTAAAATATTATTGAACTGTGCTTTGTGAAATATCCACGTATTCACGTGTCCTGTGCTACAAATAAACATTGAATATGGAACTACATTTTGTCGTGTTATTGTTGTTGACGGTTGCTAAGATCTCTCACGATAGTGTCACATTTCCCCGCGAAAAAACTCTGTTCTCGCCACTGCGTTGCACCCGTGTATAAGCAGGAACAAACCCTGTTTATTTGTTTTATTCGTTGTTATATCGATACACTGAAATGATTCGTCAATGTAACGCTAACGCGATTCATTCAATATGTCCATAAACCCATTGTTGTTATGACCTCATAAATGTTGAAAAAATAAAAATCATTCCTTAAGTATTAACATACAGTATAGGACAGTTGAACAGTTACATTCGGAAAGCCATCATTTTACAGTAGACAAAGCCAAAGATCCACGATACAAGGGTAGATTTTTATTTTAGATTTCGCTATACATATTTATTGGCTATGCTGTTATTATATGCCACATAAAGATATCTTTTGAAATCTTTATTTTACTACAGTAAGTACGGCAGTTATGAGTTTGAAATGTGGGTAGGGTGGGGAGATCTCTCACCGTAATTAACCGTTTCTTGAATTTCTATACTTATGTGTGCTCTTTGCGTTTTGTGGTAAATGTTAAATATTTACATTTGGTGTGGCAAAGCCCTTCTATATTACTACTAAAGTACTGCCAATAGCAGCTTCATCTTATAAGACTATAACTGAAGTTGGTCTTTGCAACTCCGAGCGACTTAACAGTGTCACTACCGAACTTATCGGTATCTTCTGCTTTGATCCCTAACACCAGCTGCCTGTCTCAAGTGTCTGTGAGATCAACAAACAATTTTACGCCTGGATTTTTTCACCAATTCAACCTTCTCCGGTTGCACGATCAACATCAACAACATGCCGGACCGCAAATATAACTCTGACCTGATTACGGCGGGCTTCCGTTGAGTGCGTGCGCCGGATATTGGTCGCAATTAAATCGGAAAATGTTTTACGACACTTGATTAGTTACTTACAAAATGTCATTTGTTACAATTTATGTATCGAGAATATGATATATATATAAATCAAAATCAAATGAATTATTAACGAAAGTTGCGGAGTCTTTTCAAGTTTGTATGGGAAATAGCGCATGACGTCAGCAGTTATCTTTGTGCCGTTCTAGATACATTTTGAACTAGGTCCAGATCTCTTACCGACAGCAATGGTGTTAAACAGACAAAGAAAAGTCGCTCCACTGTGGTAGAGAGGGGTTACCGCGTAGGATACGTCAACAGCATTGAAACCAAACGAAGACCAAATCTTCGAGGAGCCAATCGCCTTAGCTTGATTGCATATGGCTGGTTTGGGCAGACCTGGAACAGTCAAAAACTGATATGGTAAGCTTTTGTCTATTGGTGTTACAGTATGTTAAGTTATGGATATAAGCCGAAAACTGTCCAATAAGTGAGAGAAAGTACAGGTGTCGAGGCCCGTTAATGCCGAGACCTGTTCTTTCTCTCACTTATTGGACAGTTTTAGGCTTATATATAACTTAAAACAAAGTCCCCTCTGAATGCCTCTAATGCTGATTCAGGTAACAAATTCCCGATTGGTGTTCGCTGACCCATTTAACTTATTGGATAGTATAAGGTGAACCTATTGCCACTCTCATGCAAACCTCATGCATGCATGATTTTGGAGTCTGTGGATTCACACGTGTCCATATGGCACAATGTCTCCTGGCAATGAGGACGTTATCATTTTAAACTCAGTCAAAATTTAAGGATGCTTGAGAGATTGACATTTTGGAAATGGAAGCGGAAAATAAGGGGCACAATTTCCGATTTAAGCAATAGTTTGTCATCCCTATCTGAAAAGGAGAAAGACAATTTTGAATACACCAAGCAGACAGGATAGCTGTTGACGTTTGAATGTGGTGATTTCCATGGATATTAACACTGCTGGTACAGTATGCTAGCTGTTTAATTTTGAATGTTGTGAATTCTAAGGATAGTACATCGCTGGTATTGTATATGTTGATTTCATATTATACTAAAAAGCATATGCGCTTATAGTTTTATTTAGCTATATCGCTGAATTACTCCAATTGGCTCGGCACATCTGTTCCCTACAATGTGCTGTCACAACTGTCCATTAAGTTGAGCACTTAGAAAACAGGTGTGGACAGTTCATGCCACTCATAGGACACTTGTGACATCATCGCTATGTTTTAAGTCTTGAGTATACAGAATGGCTGATTTAATGTGATCATTCAGGCCATTTATGTTTTCTTTGGCGATGTATCGTTTACAGGAAACAAAGTGAAGACAATAGCGAAGTATCAACAAAATCGTAATTAAATCTCAAAATCAGTACAATGAGGATTAGATATCAACAAAGGAAAGATTCAATTGCAAGTCAAGGAGAATAAGACCTGCTTTCTGGAAAGGTAGGCGAATAATGCTTTATTAAAGACAAGTCTCCCTCCTCCCTCATGTAAATGTGATGTCTTTACCGACATACAAACAACCATGTCTGTTGCCAATTTTTAATGTGTCCCAATTTGCAACAGTACATTAATTACGTTATACTAAAACAAGCTTGGATAAAACTACACAGCTTTGAAGCAGTAAACCCAGATGATATCCAAGTAATGTCAACAAAATGACATTAGGGAGAGGGACGACGAAACAACATGGTTAACACATGAGCAAATTCCACATCATCAACCTAAATTCATATTGCACGAGGAAAAAGAATATTTCCAAATAATTATGACCATAAAACCTGCCTATTCTCTTCACCAACCTTTTCTATGCTAAAGCCTTGACAGTAAACTTACGAATTTATAATACTTCTACTCTGGTTTGTGTCATATGAAAATTGTAACAGTTCCTAGGCATTCGTTCTATACTTGCTTGTATACGAACATTTATTTCATATTAATTATGGTGTTTGATGTATCAATTTGACATAGATATAGATACAGTCGGTTAAACGGCTAATTTCGACAATATGATTTATCATTTTATAGATATCAATACTTTTGATGAAACATACATAACATTTTTGAGTATCAATATTGATATATTTGAAAACTAAATAGCATATAGTGTATTGTTACTCCTGCCAATTTGGAACAAAATACATTGCAACTACCAAAACTATTACGTATTTCAGTAAGGTAAATATCGATGTACCTGTTGTGCCAGATGTGTATATGTAGCATACTGGTGACGTCAGCGTTACATGTGAACGTAGGTGTTTACTAAGTGGAAGCGGAAGTGTTCTCTCCATGGCATCATCCAACGAATGATATCCCGGCGGGAGTTCACACTTTGAACGTCCTTGTACATACATTGGTATGTTGTCTGATAAGCTGTTCCTTATTTCTTCAATCGATTCTAACAAGCCTTCTCCTATAACATGATTAATAAAAAAAATATGATTCTATAACCATCTGTATGCATCTGTATATGTGCTATGCTAACGAATTCTGTTGTATACTATTCAGTATGAAAACAAGATATCCTAGCATTGATTCGGAATCACTTACAGAAATTGGCATACCCTATTATTTTTATATCACATATTTCACAGTACACATAGTTTGGTATGTCAGAATTGTTGGCGATAGCACAGCTCGATAGCAGATATGATGTGATCTTTCTGAAAGGTTATTATCTGGAAGTAAAACAGATATGGAACGTGCAGTGCGGATATGGCGCATGTCAAGCAAATATTGGTCGGTAAAAGGATGTGGTCTACACAGCAATATCAGTATTGCAAATGGAAACAACCTATACATTTATCACGGACAAGTATATCATCAACTTCCATAACAGTGCAAAACGACATTCCGTTGCAGAACGTGGATGGTCCTGCTCGATAAGCCCGCTGTAATATCTATTACAATCGAGCAAACGGCCTCCTAGATAGTCGGCATGCGGGTGCCTGTTTTCTTTTTTACAAGATTTTGCTGCTACATGTAGAAGTAGAATCCCATTGATGAATTCACAAAAATGAAAAGTTTATAAAAACGTATTTTGTAAATGTCAGTTTACTTTGATAGTTGACTATTAAACCTCGGGATTGGCCTAATCATATAGTTAATTGGCATGAGTTTATTCTGGAACGGTTTGCACAAGACTAGTTAAAAAACTAATTATCCATTGCAGCAAATTACTATCTTTATAAAGGGTATGATGGGCGCCGCTTCCCTTTTGTCGGAACACTTTAAACAATCATTGCATTCCTTTGATCTTAATAACCATCGATGAAAGAAATATAATACTGACGTTAAATTTAAAAAGGGAAACATTGGCAAGTTTTTGGTTTGCCTTTATAATGACATTGCGTTGCCTATTAAGTCAAAGAACGGTTTACAGAACTCATCGGACTGCAAGTAATAGTGTTAAAACCATTATTTCGCTTCTTACACTGTATGACATAATTAAATGTATGTGTAATTACAATACATATATAACTCTGAGTCTGGTTAATGCATTAACATCAATTGATTAGACATTCTCCCCCGTACCCGAGCCGACGATGATGGCCTTGGCATTGCTGGCCCGGATGGAGTGGAGAAGCGGCTCGGCAGTTAGATGGTAGTTAATGAAGGCATCCACCATACCGATTTTCTGTAGTCCTGTGAAAAATGATTTATATCAATGGACGTTATATCTATTGTTGTGATAAAGGTGGTGGTAATCAACATGGATTGGTGATGCTTGATATAAGTACTATCATTACTGTATCTGACCGTAACATATATCTGACCGAAACACTTGACTAATACTAAGGATTGCAATTGTAAAGAATAAAATAAGCATTACAAGAAAATAATTTTACGAGATAGCACTAAGTACAACATAACAGTGATATCAATGTTAGGTACACATTAGGCAAATATATCAATAAGTGTTATGTCAATATCTCAATTCCATTTTTAAAGTAATTCAAAAGTCCTTTACCCTCCCGAAAAGGCACTGGCACTATTTTTTCATAGCACATTCAGTATTTCTGTCTTACTTGTAAACATTTTTATTTTTTTGCATTTTCCCGAACGTTCAAGGTTTGTTACGGCTGCTGTCTTTATTTCACATCAAACTGATTAATTTAGGTTATGATGGCTTGCTTTTCGGGTTAGTAAATAACCTTACAACATTGTCATGGACAATTATTTCATTATTTACTGACAAGTATATTATATTACTACATTGAGGAATCCTAAACATAAATTTAATTTCTACTTTAAAAGAACCTTTGAATATACCAAGCTTAATAAAAATGGAGGAAATATAAAGTTTGATTTTATTCTCTTTGTATCACAATGGGTTCCAGCGGAATACTTACCAAGAAGTGTCCAGACAAACGAGGGTTCGTTCTGTATCATTGCGGCTACTGTATCGCCAGGCGAGATATCAAGGGACAGAATTATATTTGCGATTTTATTTGCCATGGCGTCGACGAGTTCATAACTATATTCTCTATCTTCAAAATACAAGAACACTTTTTTGGGATGTTGCTTTACGTGCTCCTCAAACTTATCAATGATATAAACCCCGTTGTCTAGATCCGGGTTCATCTTGTCACTTATTTGTTTAAGGCCTAACATGGTGGTCAAATCGTCCCCGATCCATGGAAACATGGAACGCCATGCGATTAAGGCGCCACCTACTGTTCCTGCTGCACCATAAAGAACGTTTTTCCGGCTAGGAGGCATTGTCACCTGATTGGAAATCAAAATAAGCAAGTGTTATACTGTCAAATTAGACATATTTGGCAACGCTAATGAAGCAACATAATGCATACAATGGAGAATTTAAAATGATATTATGTTCCAGTGTTCATGTATCATGTTGTTCTAATTACACTAGTTCCGTGATGAACAATGTGAAATGATGATATTAGTATTAACTAATTAAAAAAATGAATATGTGATAACAAATATCTGTGTTAGCGCATGAGACTTACCTGTCGTGATGTCGTTGTACGACTATCTCAGTAAGGCCCCTTTAGATAAGATTTATCGTAGAACATGTCCCCTGTGCGATAACACTACTGACTTAAACACCATGCTATGCCTTTATACCTATACATATAGCTGTTGTTGTATCACTTTATACAGGTCAGTATATAGAACTACAATAAGGGACAAGGTGGAATGATAACAGTGTAGCAGATACACAGATAGACCACAATCAAACAAAATGTGTACTCTGCCAAACACGTATACATAAAAACCCGCCTGCGTTGGTTTTCTAATGAGTCAAATTCCTCCTTTATGCAAGTAGATCGTCCGGTGGCGCATGTTTCCCTATATACACACTATAGAAACGTGACGCGTGTGAAGTAATTCAAAGATATTGAAAGAGGTTGCGCGACAAGTAGCACTTTTAAACTAGTTTTACCAACAGTACGTGTATATACATTATTTTCTCTCGTTTTCATGTATTTAATTCAATATCATATACATGTCAAAATGCACTACTGCAAAATGTATGTATTAATGCTTTGTTGGAGTATGTTAGGATGCATAGTTAACTTGGGGAAATTCATTCAACTGAAGGGCACAATTTACGGTGCAAGGAGATGAGGCCAATATGGGAAGTTGATTAATATCGTAAACATATATAAATGCGGTTGTATGTTACGTTGATCTGGAATGAACCATTCGTTCGGCAAGGAATTTTTTTTTTGCATAAATTAATAGTAGAAATAGCAAAACAGTTATTGCCAAATTGCATGTGAAATGATATTTAACTGATTTGGTTTAAAACATCTCCCGGAGAAGCTAATTAATTGTTGTATAAATGATGAGGTATACTGTCCTGGTTGGCAAAAGAATGGGGCCATTCAGAAAAAGAAGAATTTCGATCTCGACTTAAACCTATTTATTTGTATCATATCTCCAATGGGATTAAGGCATAAGTTAAGAATTTTGAAAAAAAAATGTCAAAAGATAAATTAATTAGTGTAAAAGATGTTTGATGTAATAAAGTATGACTCATCTATGAGTGAAGACATATTATACACATAGCATAAGTGACAAACTAGGGGCTGAAAAATATCAACGACTTCTTGTCACGCCCATTAACGTCGACAATAACACAAATTATTGCACTGGTCTTGTGTACATGTAGTTATCATTGCACTGGTCATGTGTACATGTAGTTCTCATTGCGCTGGTCATGTGTACATGTATTTCTCATTGCACTGGTCATGTGTACATGTAGTTCTCATTGCGCTGGTCATGCGTACATGTATTTCTCATTGCACTGGTCGTGTGTACATGTAGTTCTCATTGTACTGGTCATGTGTACATGTAGTTCTCATTGCACTGGTCATGTGAACATGTAGTTATCATTGCACTGGTCATGTCTACATGTAGTTCTCATTGCACTGGTCATGCGTACATGTAGTTCTCATTGCGCTGGTCATGCGTACATGTATTTCTCATTGCACTGGACGTGTGTACATGTAGTTCTCATTGTACTGGTCATGTGCACATGTAGTTCTCATTGCACTGGTCATGTGTACGTGTAGCTATCATTGCACTGGTCATGTGAACATGTAGTTATCATTGCACTGGGCATGTGTACATGTAGTTCTCATTGCACTGGTCATGTGTACATGTAGCTATCATTGCACTGGTCATGTGAACATGTAGTTATCATTGCACTGGTCATGTGTACATGTAGTTCTGATTGCACTGGTCATGTGTACATGTAGTTCTCATTGCACTGGTCATGCGTACATGTAGTTCTCATTGCACTGGTCATGTGTACATGTAGTTCTCATTGCACTGGTCATGTGTACATGTAGTTCTCATTGCACTGGTCATGTGTACATGTAGTTCTCATTGCACTGGTCATGTGTACATGTAATTCTCATTGTACTGGTCATGTGAACATGTAGTTCCAGTGGGAATGTATACCACAAATGAATGTTAGAATCAGAGTGTCCGTATAACGACTGATATACAACTTTCATGATAGATGTCGAATGCTGACGGACAAAGTAGGTCCCAGAGATGAGTATGGAATGTTTGATGGCTGCCATCATGATCTTTAAGGGACATATGGTATCTCTTCCTTCATGACATGACTGCATGTAATGTTTCTTTCTAGCTAAAACTGGCACCAAAATCATTGTCCAGTAGTATGTAATAAACACGATTTAAAGAAACAAGTATTTGGTGCGCAAAATTAATTATTTTATGTCCTCCATTTTCCACTATATGTGAAATATGCCGTCCATGTAATTGATAAATGTTATCTTTACCGTATGTTTTAGAATCACAATTGAGAAATGCCTATTAAAATACATGGTTTGACAGGGAATATACATAATGTGATATGTAATCCAAACAGTTTTGTATAAATTACAGATGTAAATATTATTATGTATCCTCAAAATAGTGGTGTTTTTTATCTACATTTGTATAAGAGAGTGATTAATCGTACTAGGATAAAATTTTAGTAATAAACTATGTTTAGAAAACTTGTATACTGACGAAATTAAACGCTGTGTGCCTTTGTTCATTTTTGAAAACAGAGGAACGCGTCATATTTCAAAAACATTTAACTTGCACGAGTTATCTTCCCTGTCACGCAAAACGTCAGCAATGTGCCACCATCAAAAGAAGACTTGCTATTCCGAATATTATAACGCTGATGCTATGTACAATGTAAAAATGCATTCATTCTGATAAAGGACGTTAACAGTTTATTTTTGTAACAGTGTAAGTGTACATTCATTCTGATAAAGGACGTTAACAGTTTATGTTTGTAACAGTGTAAGTGTACATTCATTCTGATAAAGGACGTTAACAGTTTATGTTTGTAACAGTGTAAGTGTACATTCATTCTGATAAAGGACGTTAACAGTTTATGTTTGTAACAGTGTAAGTGTACATTCATTCTGATAAAGGACGTTAACAGTTTATGTTTGTAACAGTGTAAGTGTACATTCATTCTGATAAAGGACGTTAACAGTTTATGTTTGTAACAGTGTAAGTGTACATTCATTCTGATAAAGGACGTTAACAGTTTATGTTTGTAACAGTGTAAGTGTACATTCATTCTGATAAAGGACGTTAACAGTTTATGTTTGTAACAGTGTAAGTGTACATTCATTCTGATAAAGGACGTTAACAGTTTATGTTTGTAACAGTGTAAGTGTACATTCATTCTGATAAAGGACGTTAACAGTTTATGTTTGTAACAGTGTAAGTGTACATTCATTCTGATAAAGGACGTTAACAGTTTATGTTTGTAACAGTGTAAGTGTACATTCATTCTGATAAAGGACGTTAACAGTTTATTTTTGTAACAGTGTAAGTGTACATTCATTCTGATAAAGGACGTTAACAGTTTATTTTTGTAACAGTGAAAGTGTACATTCCAGACTTCACATTGAACGACACGGGGACAGCTTATTTGCACGGATCTATACACCAGTAGCGTACACTCTTTATGGATCAATGCATTTGAATTGTATAATATTTATGTAATAAATCAGTTTACAAATCATGATTTTTTGTATATTATTTCAATTAATTGTTTCAAACATAAATGCACACATTTGTTATGCTTGATGATTATACAATCCATACACATCTGAAAACAGCCCACATTGTACTTCTTATTAATAACTGCTCAAAATGTAATATTATAAAGAATTTAATTGATGAGCGAAGACAAAAATATATTTCAATATAACTGGATTCGGTGTGGACCTCTGACAGTCCGTCTATTTATCTTACTCATCCTGACTTGTCCGATTTAGTTTGAGTATCTTATCTGTCTCGTCTATGCTAGTTTTATAACCTCCTTTGACCCAGTATGAAAATGAAACATTATGCAGACAGGGTGAGAGAATATGAAGGCTGATTTAAAGTGACAGATTTGTACCATCCCCAACCTTCATGATTTCGCGTGATGAAGAGACAATGCTAGGATTGGTATCGCCCCGTCGACCCCGTGTTGCAGGGACGGTGAGCCGCTCATTACTGTCCGTACCCGGCTAAAAAACGATAATAAGGGACAATTAGACGCTACTTTAGGGCATTGTTACCTTCATTTGTCCAGTCGCCTTCGCTATCGAGAGAGAACAAATGAACCCAACCTGTTGCCATGTTATACAATTTTTTGTCAATGCTTTCCAACCTCTGAAACTAACCACGGATGACTGGTTGGGTAGGGGTTTGGTTGTATTATTTGTAATTTTTTCAATATTTGACCATTATAAAAAAAATATTACCAACCAGACTTACGGGCTAGGCGTAATTCTGACATATTTGAAAAAAAGAGTAGTATCAGAAAATGTTCTTAGAAATATTTAACTTGGTATTTTTACCTCTGGAATACGTGTATTATATTTGATTTTTGAAAGGAAAAAAATATGATATGCATAACTATTGTTTGATTTTTGCAATGGAAAGCTGTCTCCGGTTAGACTTAACAAAGTGATTGTGCATGTGTCGGAAATAACTGTTCTGTGGAAAACTGTACGTTTTTTTAATTTCATATTTCGATGATGGTTATTTAGGGTACATGAAATATTGTATTGGATTTGACTAGAAGTAACTAGTTCATACACCATAAATGTCATTCTTTAAACCCAGGATTACGGCACTTTAGATATGTCAGCTGTACTGTTACATGTTATGGACAACAAGAAATGCCGCGCTACGTGATGAAATTATATAGTTAGATTTATTAGTTTACACAGCCCTTGGAAGAAACGTTTATCTTCGAGCAGTTTGTTTTTTAAAGTTTGACCGTATTATTTATTGTGTCTGAATAGAACAAAACATCTAAAGATAGTCAGCAGACACTCTTTAAATCATTCTCACGAGTTTGCATAAAATGCCCTTAGAAAGATAAACAGATGTTACGTGTTTCTAGATAAGACGAGACAAGTGTGTGGATTATTTCCCATGTGCACTTTGTTTTTCTTATTTTTTCTTTTCTTTCATTTTGTTGTTGTTACATCAACATCAAACAGACATAACACACAAACTCTCACTTGTAGACAGAAGCACGCGTTTCCCAATCATCATCATTTATACACATGTACTTTAACAAAGGTTTGTGTCTTATCGTTTTGCTTGGCAAGACCTCACTTTTGGTTTTAAAGTTGTACGCTCAGGTGAGGAAGGCAATAAGTTCTGTCCCCATGCCGGGTGTTCTTGAACATGGATCGTGCTTTTTCCTAGTTACCGTACAGCATTACGGACAATGAAAACAACTGGTTCATTCTTTACCAGTATAATGTGACTAGGCGGATTACTGTGATGGCTGCCTTATATAATATAAACTTTATTTATTTAACAACTATCATGAAACAAGTTATTTCAACTTATATAAATCACTCGTGTTGGCCCGGATGTTAGCGCGTGAGGGTCTTAGTGTGAAAGGAAACTGGAGAACCCGGAGAAAACCCACGTGGTCGGGCAGGTGACCCCAACCTTTTCACGTCCGATCGGGGAATCGAACCCCGGCCGCTTTGGTGAAAGGCAAGTGCGCTATCCACTGCACCACCCGACCATCCATGATGGATGCATTTTGCACGGTATTCCAGTGAGGTAGCCATTTAAAGTCGGCATCAGATCCGCGCTATCAAAAGGAGGCAATCACCTTCCATGCGTCCAACACACAGACACTCATGCATGCATACATTACACAAGGCACGCCTTTAAATGATTTTAACATTTGAAAGGATGAAAAACCCTATAAACCAAACCAAACCTTAACACACATTCTGTAACAACACACCCACTATGTGTTGGTTAACTAACTGTCTTTAAAACGTTTCATGATAATTTTACTCTAGTTAGATAACTGTGACAACCAGTTACCACTTGTTGGGAAAGCTGTATTCAATCTTTCCTATTAGCTTTTGATTAAAGCAGTACTTTCCTTGATCATATATCTATTTGTTCTCATATTTATGAGCCTATGCGTATACAGTACTTATCTTAGTCATGTACACGGAGTCACCAAATGTGTTACAAGGTCACCCTAATCGCAAGGTTGTTTCCACGTGTCTATAAGTTGGCAAGAATTCTTGACTCTCTATGGTAGAAAACGAATTGTACCGTAGCTATCTTAACCACAGAAGAACATCGCCACATATTGCGAAGAACCGGGAGAAGAACAAGTCCAGTTGCCATTTCAGTTATAGATTCAAACAGGGATCACTATGGAGTCACTGAAGGATAAAGTAGCGATTGTTACAGGTAAACTATGATTATATGAGTGAAAGGCTGCATTAGAGGTATTAATGATAATGTTAATAGCGTTGGTTAGATTTTTTGTAATATTTACATATTTTTTCATTTTACAAGTCTATTTTACAAAGTGGTATCAAAGAGTTTCGAGGCGGTTTTCGTAGCGACACAAATGCTTGTCAGAGATATGTCGAGCAAAGTCTGTTTTAAAATAATGAATAATGTCATTGAAGGTATTGTCAAAGAAAACATAAATATGCGGCGGACATTCAAAATGATCCAAAACCATATCGATAAGACGTTCCAGTCATAAGAGGTCGTACCATATGACGTCATCCTATAAGTTTATATATAAATTTAAGATAGGTGCGTGTATTAATGTGTAATATAACGAAGTTGAGAGAATGTTCAAACGAAAAGGCCGCTTGCTGAGCTCAACTGTTTATCTTGAGCAAGCTGAACAAATGTTTTGTTTGGCTTGTAAAATTCATTAAATTGGCTCAAGTCTTTTAAATGCCTTTCTCCAATTTTTGATATTAGCTACTCACAAGCTTCAATTTCAATCGCTATTATATTGGCAGACGATGATGTTTATTTGAATCAACCAAAAGCATACCAGAGTACCATAATATATCTACAAAAATCATACGTGCAACCCAATTCCACAAAGTCTGAGGCTCGGAAGAGATTTGCCCGTGCATGGTCTTTTTCCAAAGAAATATATTGACGCGCATGGTTTTTCGTCCAATAAAACAGGTTTTTTTTTATCAATGAAGGTGTGGTTACATAGCCGACGTAGTATTATCAGTTAAACTGAAGCCTTATCATGCATAATAATGCAGACACGTTAACTTCAACGTTTCTACCCTATCTAATCACCGCTAGCTAACCACAACGTTTCTGCCTTACCTAATCACCGCTAGCTAACCACAACATTTATATCCTACCTAATCACCGCTAGCTAACCACAACGTTTCTTCCCTACCTAATCACTGCTAGCTAACCACAACATTTCTACCCTACCTAATCACCGCTAGCTAACCACAACGTTTCTACCCGACCTAATCACCGCTAGCTAACCACAACGTTTCTACTCTACCTATTCACCGCTAGCTAACCACAACGTTTCTACCCGACCTAATCACCGCTAGCTAACCACAATGTTTCTTCCCTACCTAATCACCGCTAGCTAACCACAACATTTCTACCCTACCTAATCACCGCTAGCTAACCACAACGTTTCTACCCTACCTAATCCCCGCTAGCTAACCACAACGTTTCTACCCGACCTAATCCCCGCTAGCTAACCACAACGTTTCTACTCTACCTATTCACCGCTAGCTAACCACAACGTTTATCCCCTACCTACTCGCCGCTACCTAACCACAACGTTTCTACCCTATCTAATCGCCGCTAGCTAACCCCAACGTTTCTACCCTACCTAATCACCGCTAGCTAACCACAACGTTTCCACCCTACCCAATCACCGCTAGCTAACCACAACATTTCTACCCTACCTAATCACCGCTAGCTAACCACAACGTTTCTACCCTCCCTAATCACCGCTAGCTAACCACAACGTTTCCCCCCTACCCAATCACCGCTAGCTAACCACAACGTTTCTACTCTACCTATTCACCGCTAGCTAACCACAACGTTTCTACCCCACCTAATCACCGCTAGCTAACCACAACGTTTATACCCTACCTAATCGCCGCTACCTAACCACAACGTTTCTACCCTATCTAATCCCCGCTAGCTAACCACAACATTTCTACCCTACCTAATAACCGCTAGCTAACCACAACGTTTCTACCCTACCTGATCCCCGCTAGCTAACCACAACGTTTCTACCCTACCTAATCACCGCTAGCTAGCCACAACGTTTCTACCCTACCTAAACACCGCTAGCTAACCACAACGTTTCTACCCTATCTAATCACCGCTAGCTAACCACAACATTTCTACCCTACCTAATCACCGCTAGCTAACCACACGTTGTGTGCTCAGTGGACTAAACACATTTACCAAATAAACAATTTATATAATTATTTAATGTAAATATGTTAATAGGTATTTTATGAAGAATGTAGACTTCAATTGTTTGCGTGTAATAACTTAATGTACATAACACCTCTGCATGTTAGCACAATGACAGACAACATATGAAAATGTCATTACTGTTAGTTTATATATGATAAACATATATCTGGATGTGGTCGGGCGAACCTCCACTCTTCGCTGAAATAGAAACATGTATAATACTGTTAGTTTATGCACTGCAAATCTTTGGATATTATGCTAATCAGGTGCTGGATCTGGATTTGGTCGGTGCACATCTCTGCTCTTCGCCAAATATGGAGCGTTGGTAGTTCTGGCTGATATGAATTTACCGGGAGCTGAGGCCGTTGCTGCTGAATGTGTCAACGCTGGTCTCAAAAAGAGTCAGGTAACAGTGCATGTTAAACAGTAATTAGAAAAGCAATAATACTTATTACCTAAGTCTTTATTTGTATATTCATCGTTTTTCACGATTCAGTTACATGTATGACAACTTTATCTATTACAAATACGTCACTTACCCATGTAGCATACTAGCCCTTCCACAATTTTGTTTGTTTTGTGTCACGTGGTGTTATAAGCTTCATGTTAACTTAATCGTTTATAACATGCTGTTCTTCCATGTTGGCTGTAATGTGGAATATGTAATGTACGATTTACAACAAAGGGGTCCTATGAAAAAATGGAAATTTATCAATGTATTGCCCATACCTAAGTATTTTGGATTGAATGTTTGTATATACTTGTATATATGCTAACTAAGTAAGCATTACATTCCTTTGTTTCAGGTTTTAGTCGTTAAATGTGATATCACGAAGGATGCTGACAGAAAACAAGTAGTAGATGAGTGCATACGAACATTTGGGAGGATAAACATTTTGGTAAGAGTATTGATACTATTTTTATGATCATAACTCGAAATAACAATTGACGATATTAAACATAAATGTCTTAATCAGGCTCATTTTCACATGTTCAGTTCAATACATATACTTCCGTAAAATAACAATAATCGAATCACATTATTACTAATTGAATTCTGCTGCAAGCAATCATTCAATTCAACACTATTTAAACAAACCTTTGCAATATTGTTTCAGTGTAATTAAAATGTTCGCCTAATATATTTTTCCAAAACTGATCTGATGATCTAATTCCATGAGCTATATTGTCTAAAAATATGCTACATGCTTTAATAACCAACACTATTATATCATATTATTGATTATAAATATGAAATAATCTTTACCGTCACAAGTAATACACCATTTTATCTGGGTAGAAATAAGTTTAAAAGTACTTGCAACCGAATGATATTGACTTACACATTTGTGTCGATATTAAAAGGTAACCGAAAGTGTACCAGGCCATATCTACCATTTAACGGTAGGGTCTAGTGATATACCCGAACCTGATTACACTAATCTTGGTGTATGGAATTTGTTTTACAGAATTTTTTAACTTGGTTCACTACATAACTATAGTTTGATTACGCAGGTAAATAATGCTGGCATATACCGTAAGCAGAGCATGTTGGATGCAAACTCCGATACATATGATTTTCTGATGGATGTCAATCTGAAGGCACAAATTTTCCTTACACAACTGGCTGTCCCTCATCTCAAAAAGACAAAAGGTAGCATGTTTTAATCTTCCCATTTAAATACAGAAACAGCGTCCCAGATATTACATATGTCTCACCAAAACTATCAACAAAACAAAATTTGAGTGCTTTTTTCTGTTTATCTGTGTATTACTGGTCTGTATCATAAAATAACAAATTTCCAATTGACATTAGAACTGCTTACCTTTTCCATCAGATATGTGAAAGTACAACTGACTTTGATTTCAGGAACAATTGTGAATCTTTCAAGTATCGTTGCTGAAGAGGCGGTGAGTAACATTTGATATCTGTTGTTTTGTCTGCAACTACCTTTAATCTGAAGTATTAACACAATTTCTATCTTAATTTACATAATTGTGTTTGATAAGAAATCGGGAAAGATAACACACAAGTGGACAGAATGTGGTCATTCTGGAGCGCACAATTGCACCTATAACATCTTATAGAAGTGGATGCTCGTGGTGCATACTCATTTGTTTAATGTATCTTCTTAATATCAATTTGAATTTCCATATAGTTGACATATATTTCCATTTTACGACACCTATGAAAATCATCACTTGGTAGGAATTATTATCGTGTCATGTTATGAAGTGTTGTCACCCCTGCAGTTCCGAGGTTGGGAAAGTATAACTGCTGTTACCCCCTGCATGTTGTGAGAGGCAACTCATGTGACATCCCCAAATAGAATTTTGGATTTGCATTTGTGCCCTCTTATTGGGGACAAACAGCAATCAAACTAAACCTGCTGCACCCATTGCAACATTTGAAAACTTTCCATCATCTTCTACCGTTTCTGTTTCCGTGCGTGCTTATACCTCAGGTTGGCCTTAGCTTTGAATGTTCGCCCCTGTGGGGAAGACAATGTGTTCTGTCCTTACGTCAGGAAATACCAAGTCCTTAAAATGGTTGTTGGTATTACCTGCTAAGCGTTCATCAAAACGGTTAATCGCAATAACTAGTTTACCCGTTCTGAATATAATATTAAGAGTTTGAATAATGTTCCGGGTGCCTTCGGAGTGGCATTGCAGTGAGGTAGTACTCTATAATCGGCATCAAACCGCGCTATCGCAAGGAGGCAAATATATCAACACACTCTCCTCTACTCGCGTACATTACACACATGGATACACCCAATAAAACCCTTAAACCATAGTAGTTTTTCACATAAATGATGTCCTCACTTGATATGCTAAATAACATCTACACTGTATTTATCAAATTGAATGGAATTGTACCAAATTGATGATAAAATCTACTTTAAAAGCGTACAACATTTTATACTTCATTTTTAAACATAACATATTTACGGTTCGAAAAATTATTAAAGAATATTGTATTCTAGACACGTGGTAGCATGGCTACATATACTTATTATATATCGTAAGCGTCTGACTAACTTAAGTTTGTCTATACAGGTAGCAGCTGCGGGTGTTTACTGTATATCTAAAGCGGGCATTGACTGCGTCACTAAAGTGCTTGCACTGGGTATGTATCACGTTGGATTAAATTGCAAGAGAACAAAAATATATCGTTATCAAATTCCATTCAAATATCTTTGTATTAAGATGCGTTATAGGTTTAAGTTCATTTTAAATTATCTCCGTTAATGCAAATGTATACTCAAGATGAAGAGAAACTGGGACTTTATGAATTTAAGATTCTTTTTATCCTTTATCTATTTAATAAGAAGTAAAAGTATGGAATAAATTTTAAATTCTAAAGGAAAGGAATGTAAAATATACACAATTTAATAAACAAAAGGTAAAATTTGTTCTTAATGATATATATTTTTAGCTTTGAAACTTTTATTTTCTCAGAATTGGCCGAATTTGGAGTGCGCGTGAATTCAGTGCGGTGTGTATTGCATTACTACTTATTTATCTTCCGAATTGTCTGGAAAACATCATTACCAAACTAATAAATAACATACAGATGTAGCTGTATTACATGTACATGTGACCGACTATATAATAAACTCCCCGAATTTATGATTATAAGACAAACCTATTCTAAAACGAAGCTATAACCCATTCATTGTTGAACCGTTTATGTTGCTAGATATATATTTTTGTATATATATATTTACAATGCTTTCTTACAGCCCTGGAACAATGCATACTGGCCTGTATGATGTCGACTTTGGACAAGACGTTGCGGTGAGTGTAATGTAATATCAAACAATGTATTACCACTGATGTTCGACATTTTTGACATTCTGCTGAGGTTGCGCCAGCAGGTTTGTCAAACATCTTCTATCCGTCACGTTTTTTTTGTTGACATTTGAAGCAATTTACAGGTAACATAAAGCACTAAACATGTTTGATGACAGTAAACATAGGTACAAAAGTCAATATGATGTCTGCAAGGTTGCAACAGATTTGTCAATTGTCCAGGCAACGAAATTCAGTCTTAACTAATACGATTTTAAGGCATGGATAAACAGAATACGATCTCTAATAATATGATTTAAGGCATCGATAAACAGAATACGATCTCTAATAATAGGATAAACCCTTAACTGAATTTCATTCATGATAAGAAGAAAATAAAATATTATTTTAAAAGTACCGAGCATTAGCGGTCATTGTGTATATCATAGTATGGTTGTGTTTGACTTCAATCATGTTCCTATTTTCAGATGTAAGTAGTTTTCTGGTATTTAACGGAAACTTGTTTTGCTTGTTTCTTACACTCTTCCATGCAATATAATTATAACCATGCAACTATTGGTAAGCTTATTTTCCAACAAAACATCGTGATGATACATTTCATTGAAAAACAAACGCAGTTTTTATTGTAAATGTTGTACATATTTTGTTGTAGAATGTGATGAAGAGTGTTGTTTCCGAACACCCACTAGGAAGATTAGGTTTACCAGAAGAGGTTGCCAATGCTGTTGCCTTCCTTGCCTGTGATCTATCCTCCTACAGTACCGGTAACTTCTTCTACGTGGATGGAGGACGCCATTGTGTCGGTGCCAGATACAACCCCCATTTAAAACCACAGTAGCTCGTGCCTCTAGTCCATCACATTTACTGCTGTAACCAAATATATACCATTAATTGGTTAAGGGAGACATAAATTCATAGTCAGAGTGGTTGGTTGGCTGCATTGCGATTTTTCGCCCGTACATATATATGTGATGCTAGTCAACTAAACATTAGAAAAAATATCATGGACATATAGTTGTAGAAGATGAAATAAAATAAATATCATCTAAAATACCTTGGTTACTTATCTTTTAATACTTTATTTGTACATACATTTTAAGTATAGACACTTCAATGCTATGAACAGGCAAAAGAGCTGAGATACAATGTAGCCTTATTTATTACATTTGTACCAGTGAAATATTTTATATCATTTAATTTAGTGAAAGATATCACTTTAGCTGATTTGACCTATCAGATCACTGATTACAAACTACCATGAGGACAATTAGAAGTGGACCATATGATCAAAACCTGGTTAGCTTAACTATACAAACATCTGCCCAGAATAATCAAACCTTTTACTTACAATGGGGGGATTTTCGCTGGGGAAACAAAACGTTTAATTCCACAGTTAACATTCATTTTAAGGAAGCCAGCTACTATGGCAGTCAGCAATTCAGCTTTTTCGGCGGAAACACGGTGTCAGCGTCTACCTACAAGTGCAAATTTAGGCTAAGCGATTGGCTAAAAGTATAAGATAACTAGGGTCATCTCTGACAGTGATAGTGATTAAATATATATTACACAGGTGTTGTTGATATCAGGATAAGTGGTGACACAACAACTCTGCATTTTCCCCACTCCACACTATTTTGTGATCTGAATTGATATCACGGGACTTTTATGAAATAAGGACATTTCGTTAGTAATTTGGAAAACATCATTACATAAATGAACGAGGTACTTGATTTATAGAAATAGGTAATTAAAGAATTTTCAAGATGTGTTATTGACATTTTATCAAAATATAAGCAGAAAGGTCTATATTTGGTCGCGAGGGATTGCCTAGATATACTTGTGGTAAAAGGATCCAAAGTTAGTATTGTCAGCTCGATGTGTCGCTTCGCAATCCGGGGTAGGTTTTCGTAAAACAAAAATGAAATTAATAGAATATATAGCATTGCCTTCAGTAATACCATTTGATTTTAACTCGTGTGGCTATTATTTTGATATCTTTCAATCGTCCTGCGCACTCGTGAAAGATATCACACAAAATATGTTATTAGGTATTACTGAAGACAGTTAGATATCCTCTTTTAACTTTAGTTAACATCATATTAGAAAGTTACTCCATCAACTTCCGATATATCTGCATTAATATTTATTTGGATACGAATATCGACCGGAACAGTTCATTTATGTTAAGGGTAACACAGTCCATGTATCTGTATCTAGCTTGTATTGGCCGCTTGTCTGTATATACTAGTGTTCATATAGTCTATTGCAGTACCAAAACACCCTTTAAGTGCATATACATATATATCTTAAAATTCTATTCACTCTTATGGTAAATTATCACAGAAAACAATATTACTTACCCTGCTTACCCTTAAATACAGGTAAAGTTAAAACACTCACGTTTATATGATTCTGAATGATTTGGTATTATTCCATAGCCACCTAAACATAAATGCTAAGGTAGCAGTATACAGTAGCGTACAGTGGCCATGGGCGATATTTTTGTACAATGAATAACCCCTGTAATATCACATTAAATATCACCTACTTGGTCGCAGCACATGTGTAAATATTGTGAAAAATCCAGTTTGACGACATATGCTAAAACGTGAGTTTCTGCGACCGAGTAGGTGATATTGAATTTAAGACAGGTTTTAAGAAAAAAATATTACTTGCGTGGGTCAAGTTTTGGGTTAAAAATCATGTTTTTTCGCACTTTTTGGCGTATTTTGATGTGGTAAACATGGTCCCCGAATCTGGGGAAATCACCTTTGGAAAAAAAGCATCTTCTAAAAAAAATACTATTCAAAATGTAGTTTATAAATATATATATATATGTAGGTGTGTTGTGCAGGATGAATCCGCTATCCATGTTTATCCGAGACATGCCCTTTATTTTTAGGGTCAAGCCATTTCTACTGTACTCTGCTAACCTAAGGATTTGCTAATATGAGAATGTATGTTAGAAATCTCTGTTCTCTTAAGTCTCCATAAAGAAATATGACAAATATTAAGTATATTCTCATTGGATTTATTTGTGGTGTATGTGAGTGAAACAAAATGACAATGCGACATCGAACGAACGGTNCCCCCCCCGATAATTCTATTCCGCCTCGGAATGACTGCATGCTAGAAAAATAAATAAAAAATATACTTAGAACACCTTACGGTAGACAACGGGATGAACCTTAAATAGAAACTGCTGCACAATTTGGTTATGATTACCGTACAGATTCTGTACGAAATTTGTCAAGTCCATGATGCATTTTACCAGCGAAAGAGTTTGTTCATTTCTCAGTGGAGACATTATTGATACAGACTACTGTTTCATATGGCGTTGAAGTAAGCTGAAATACTACATATAAGTATTGATGCTATGACTTTTGAAGCCTATTCGAGAAGATATTCACTGCGCTACGAAAGCTCAAGAATTTCTTAAAGTCGAATTTGCCAATAATCGGATAGGTGACATTAACATCAGTAATATGATATACAGCAATTCCGTCGAAATTAACATTCCACCATACTTTTGCATAAAAAACACTCGTATATTGTTTAACGGTTATTCCGAGCTCATTACTGCAACAATATGTCATTTTGAACGTTACAATACTAACTAATTGGTAGCTGGCAGTATGCAAACGGTATTTAATACTACTGTAAAACATATGAATGATCTCATTAAGTCGTGGGAGTCAAGCGTCTTTACCATGCTTTCGCCACTAGATATGGCTAAAACACGGCCCGAACTGCATGTTTTTCTTAGTACCATTAATTGCTCGACCATTTTTTGAAACAATGACTTTAATTCCTTTAAACTAACAGCAAACGAAGCAACAGCTGACTTCAGACGACCTTAGAATAATCACTTCTTCAGCATGGTATGTTTACATATCCACGCAACTGTAATTCGGCTTGATACGTAATAAATGCCGATCTTAATGTAAACATAATGAAATAGTACGAGTGGTTTCTTAAAGGTTCCAAGTATAAAGTTGTATCGACAGAGAAGTACATCTTGTATCTAATAACTTGGTCCTCGTCTGTTATTTCTTTTAATTACTGCATGCAAATGAACATTAGTTTGTCTGATAACCAAGGAAACATCTCATTTACATGTTCCATTACGAAGAATACAGATCACTCTCGTTTTTATTTAATTCCGTTATCTAAACCTCCTATGCTCATTGTGGTTTGGTTTGGTTTTATTTTGTTTAACGTCCTTAAGGTCATTTAAGGACGTGCCTCCATGTATGGTGTGTATGTGTACATGTGTATATATGTGCCGGAGACAGGGTATGTTAGTGTATTTGCCTCCTGGTGATAGCGCAGAACTAATGGCGACTTATAAAGTGTACTTTTAAATGTTGGAAGTATGCAGAAAACATTCAACATACAAATCCTGAAAAAGGCAGAGAAACGTTGCATGTTTTAAAATGTGATGTAAGTGTTCTGTGTTTTTCTGGGTCTCCATTAATGATCAGATTGCTCCCAAAGTTTGACATCCTTATACTTTTATTGTTTAAAACCATTTTTTATTGATAAATATACTTACAGAATGAATGAGAGTGAAAAAAACGCCTAAGAAGAAGGAACAAAATATAAACCGAGCTTCAACTAAGAAAAAAAACGTCATTTGCGACGTTATGCTTTAATTGGAGTGAATTCAGGTTTCCCGACACTAGTATTCCTCAAAAAGGGATTTCCACGGAATGAAAATGATTTAAACTTGAACTTGTACTCATCTGGTGTGGCACCTGGCGTGTATTCCATCAAATGCTGCAGAGTATACAGGCCATCTACAATCTAAGATGAAACGTACAAGTCTATAAATAAAGGATACAAAGTGGATTCAACGTTTGATACCATAGATAGTAATATGTTGGTTTATGCAATGACATGTATCAATCGAAAGGTGGATATGTAGACTGTACATGTCAGTATAATGTCCGTTTTCATAAACATAAAGGATGGTGGTTGATAAGACTAATTTATGGCCCAGTGTTTACCTTATCATACTAATACTTTGCACAAATAACTTACCCAAATAGTGTGTCAGCAGGTAAGCCGAACGTGGTTTTCTTCTTGTTTTGGGTCTGACCAGAGCAGGGGGCTATGTACGAAATTCATTCTTTTTCTAATTTGTCAAGTATATGGATAGGATGAGTGTATTTTAACGAAGCAAGGTCTTGTATTACTGTATTAAACATAAACCTGTGCGGTTAATGATATGGCCCCCGTCTTTGTTTTGAAAGTTGATCCAACATAGAGAGATCAGACGGGTAATGTACCTTCCTCCGCATGATATTCCAATCATTGAAATCTTTAGTTTTTGCGGATCAGAAGTAAAACCTTGTTAACTAACTTTAATATCAGTCTTTATTTAAACAATCTGTAAAGCATTGTCCAAAAAAGATTATAAATGATATATATTTCATAAATGAAATCGGAGTGTTTGTTTTATTGTGTTAGTTATGACAGTAGAAAGTTGATATCAAAATGGTTTCAATTATGTTTTTTTTATTTTATTTAAAAGAGTTAATTTAAAAGTACCATAACAGAACATTTCTGATTAATCATTTTTTTGGTATGGCTAACGAACAAAAACAGATTTACTTTTGTTGTTGAAAATGGCATAGGTTGATATTTCCTTTTAAATAATTGTTACAAATTCTCTATCAGAAGTAGAAAAAATGAACATGTATACTGGAGATGTGTTCAACAACAATACCAAGCTGCGACTGAAAGGAAAATGTAAAATTTACAACTTTTAATGCTTAATACAATTTGCTTTTTTTCACAGCTGATCATTTTATTCCTTATGTTTCCATATTATCTACCATTGCCTGAAACGTACAAACTTATCTAAGTTCACAGTTCAAAGTTGAAACAATATAAGTTTAGCTCAACATAAGCAGTACACGTGGATGCTTTGGTTATTAATATATACAAACGAATTTGCTGAAATTGTCCATAAACATCTGCTTCTTCAGCCTGATATCAATGTGTGGTATTCTGTTTCGTAAGTTTGTGCCACTAATAATCATATACAAACACTGTGAAAAAAAAGGTCGAAATAAAGTTTGTTAATTTGTATTATTACCTTATGAAGTTGATTTAGTGGAATTATATAGGGTTTTATGCCGTGAAATACACTGCCAATATAACCTCCCATATTTTGACCAAAATTCCTTTTATTACGTAATATAGACGGTAAAATCCCATATGGAGGTATGTCCGTAAGATACGAATTACTTAAAATATTATATGGGGCAAAGAAGTAATTCCAACAGTGTGAACAAGTTAAGGTTGTCAAATTTTCGGAGCGCTCCGCTCCTTTTTCAAGACACAGTGAAACAGAACAGTTACATGTGCATATACATCATATTACAAGAAGATAGAACTGATATACTATAATTGAAAATATAGCTATTATATAAAACCAATAGTCCCCTCGGCTAAAGACAGCCGAAGGCAGCAATTAAGCTGAGAGCATCGCGGACAAGGAACGCTGATGTAGAGGACCTATTCTTGCGCAAGAGTGAATCACATAAAGTGAGTCAACGAGGGATATCAAAAATGTGGAAGATGTACATGTGGAAATCTGGCCCGGTAAATGTGAAAAATCTCAATTTGCTACGGAATGTCTCATAAGTCGCCTCTCAATTCTGCGATGGATCTAACAGTCACAGCAGGGGGTCCACACTTGGTCGCCTCTTTTGGTTTGCAGGAATAATTCATGTGCCTCTTTTGGTTTGCAGGAATAATGCATGTAATTATCAAATTATTTCATCTACTTATTCCTCCTGCACTAACTTATTTGATAATAACATGCATCTGCAGTCCGAGGGGATTATTGGTTTTATATAATAGCTATATTTTCAATTATAGTATATCAATTATATCTTCTTGTAATATGATGTATATGTACATGTAACTGTTCTGTTTCACTGTGTCTTGAAAAAGGAGCGGATCGCTCCGAAAATTTGACAACCTAAACTTGTCCACACTGTTGGAAATCCTTCGTTGCCCCATATAATTATACATATGTACATGTATGGTGAAAACAGACAATAGTTTATCTGTAATTAAATCCTATTGTTCCCCGACACCAAATCTTACCTAGCATACACCAAACACCTTGCCTGTATATAGGAAAATGCTAAACGTATGCTAGGTGAGGCGACAGATTATGGGCATCCTCTTATACATAATCAAGTGTTATCTTATACGACTAAGCGTCACGTTATCGGCCAGGATGTCCTGGAGCCAACCTGCTGGTGTGTACATTCCATATTACAGGTGATACGACAACGGGCAGGACGACTAGAAACTCCAGTGATGGAATCTCTCCAGAACAAAGTGACTATCATCACAGGTATGGTAAACTGTCTCGTACGCTAAATGTCATTTGTACCATGATGTCAAGGTAAATATATACTTTCCTCCTCCTTGTGTACATAGGGAAATACACAGATGAGTAACCTCAGTTCCCTTCTTTGGACACACGTAAAGTCAGTATCTCTATGTACTAAATATAGTCACATAGGGTCATAAAGCAGTACACACAGTTTACACAGTAATTTTAGTTTAACACTATTTATACTATGACCAAATTATTAAGCATAATTGTGAACATTCCTGGTTTCCACTGCATATCAATCCATTACCCCTTCCCGTATTCCCATATTTGTTCTGTTGTACATACTTGTATTACTTCATTCCTGTAGCTAGTGTTGATTTTTTTTATCAAGCAGGTAACAAGTTTACATAAGTGTCATGACACTTGTCTCTGTTTACTTTTCTGTTCTATAAAATGTACCATATGAATTTCGATGTATTGTCAAACAAATTTAAATTAAAAAAGGTTTAAACCAACGAGTGAGCAGGGAAGTAGCAACTGGCTGAATGTGCATAACGTAGGTGAGGTCAGAAACCAGGAGAAGATTCCAGCTGACCTTCAAAAATGTATTTTTATCACGGCTGAGCGATACCCTCTATCTCAGTCCACAGCGTTATCGAAATGAAAACAATATATATATACAATCGCAAATACATGTATTGCCCAACGTGTCGTTAAGAATACATGACAAGTAAAATATATCGTTCATGTTATGTTGAATACACCAACAGAAACGAATGCAAATGAGCTGTTATTCAAACGCAAAATCTGTTTTTTTTCTTAGTATCCTGACATTGAGGTACATTTTACTTGGTCCTGAATACCTTTTTTGATTTTTCTGTCACGAGAGAACAACTCCTACACAAGATGTAAAATAAAATCGTGAACAGAATGATGAATAACTTTTTTATTGATTCTCTTCTTAAAAGGTGGAGGAGCGGGAATAGGAAGAGAAACGGCGCTTCTTTTTGCTAAATATGGAGCTAAGCTAGTACTAGCCGACCTCAATATAAGTGGTGCTGAAGCTGTAGCAGTGGAATGCAAAAAGGCAGGGCTATCAGAAGATGATGTAAGATTCTTTTTATGAATTTTTCGTATATTTCAAGTCCAACGCATTTCCATTTTTAACGAAAACCATCGATCATAGTAAAAGCACATACAATGAATATTTGTCAATTTCGTCTAGACATGGCGATGTGTATTATAAAGTTGTGTACTATGTTCCGCTATAAGATTAGCTGGTGTTCTAGAATTGTTTATTCATCTACTTAGATAATATCACATGTCTCATTAAGTGATTCAGTAGAAAAGATTTCATAAGCGTGTCCTGAAGGTTAGATATTATCCTCGCGAAATAACACGAGAATAGATATCTTGTGAAATATGAGTGATAAGAATTACAGTGGCATCAGATTGTGATTGCTGTTCTTGTTTTGTTGCAGGTTCTTGCTGTCGAAGCAAACATCACAAATGAAGACGACAGAAAGAAAGTCATCGATGAATGCATTTCAAAGTTTGGCAGACTGGATGTGTTGGTAAGATATTAAAGCTTGTTTGCTACTAATGTCAAAGCCTGATTCACAGGACTTTCTTAAGAGCTACGTTCCTATGACAACCTTACTTCTTAGTAAGGTTTTCTACCGCAAGAACGTCAATCTACTTCAATGAAGACCTTTTACCTCTATCATTATGACATGAAATAAAACTATTGGTATTCAATGTTTTTCATTGTAAAAGACAAAGTTAACATTATCTTGCTTAGCTGACAAAGTAAAAGTTTCTTAATTAGACAATGCAACAATTACCTAAACAAACTCTTTGTTCGACCTTCGTGTTTTGCAGATTCATTGATTTGATTTGATTTATATATCAGTACATTTTGTTGTATTAATGTTTCGATTTCTGGTTTTGTCCTTACAGATGAATCAGGTTGTACATTTGTGTTTGCCATTTTTACTTAAGAATTTTTAAGTTTATGTTATAGATAAATAATGCTGGGATAGGAAGATTTGCACCACTGTCACAAACACCATCGGACATGTATGATTCTTTGATGGATCTGAACGTGAAGGCACAGCTCTATATAACACAACTAGCTGTTCCGCATCTTAAGGCATCTAAAGGTAGGCATTTTCTTAAAACTAAGTGAAATAACCTGTACAACTTGTGTTAAATGTTTGTGTAATATCAAAATGCTTAACATTGATCAGTATCGCTTTTTTCTCTCTGATCCATTTAATATTACATTGAAGTGAAATGTTTCATATTGATCCAATATATTAGTTGGCATTTCATATAAATTCAGTTACACTTATAGCTCTGGAAGTAAAGTACTTAAGCAAATATACCGCACTCATATCTCAGGTGTTCTTTCCCTGTTTATAATGTACCGCACTCATATCTGAGGTGTTCCCTGCCCTGTTTATAATGTACCGCACTCATATCTGAGGTGTTCCCTTCTCTGTTTATAATGTACCGCACTCATATCTCAGGTGTTACCTTCCCTGTTTATAATGTACCGCACTCATGTCTAATGTGTTCCCTTCGCTGTGTATAATGAACCGCACTCATATCTCAGGTGTTCCCTTCCCTGTTTATAATGTACTTCACTCATATCTCAGGTGTTCCCTTCCCTGTGTATAATGTACCGCACTCATATCGCAGGTGTTCCCTTCCCTGTGTATAATGTACCGCACTCATATCTGAGGTGTTCCTTTCCCTGTGTATAATGTACCGCACTTATATCTGAAGTGTTCCCTTCCCTGTGTATAATGTACCGCACTCATATATCAGGTGTTCCCTTCCCTGTGTATAATGTACCGCACTCATATCTCAGGTGTTCCCTTCCCTGTGTATAATGTACCGCACTCATATCTGTAGTGTTCCCTTCCCTCTGTATAATGTACCACACTTGTATCTGAGGTGTTCCCTTCCCACTGAATAATATACCGCACTCATATCTGAGGTGTTCCCTTCGCTGTGTATAATGTACCGCACTCATATCTCATGTGTTCCCTTCCCTGTGTATAATGTACCGCACTCATATCTGAGGTGTTCCCTTCTCTGTTTATAATGTACCGCACTCATATCTCAGGTGTTACTTTCCCTGTTTATAATGTACCGCACTCATGTCTAATGTGTTCCCTTCGCTGTGTATAATGAACCGCACTCACATCTCAGGTGTTGCCTTCCCTGTTTATAATGTACTTCACTCATATCTCAGGTGTTCCCTTCCCTGTGTATAATGTACCGCACTCATATCTCAGGTGTTCCTTTCCCTGTGTATAATGTACCGCACTCATATCTGAGGTGTTCCTTTCCCTGTGTATAATGTACCGCACTTATATCTGAGGTGTTCCGTTCCCTGTGTATATTGTACCGCACTCATATATCAGGTGTTCCCTTCCCTGTGTATAATGTAACGCACTCATATCTGTAGTGTTCCCTTCCCTCTGTATAATGTACAACACTTATATCTGAGGTGTTCCCTTCCCTCTGTATAATGTACCGCACTCATATCTGAAGTGTTCCCTTCCCTGTGTAAAATGTACCGCACTCATATCTGAGGTGTTCCCTTCCCTGTGTATAATGTACCGCACTCATATCTCAAGTGTTCCCTTCCCTGTCTATAATGTACCGCACTCATTTCTCAGGTGTTCCCTTCCCTTTTTATAATGCTATCGGTTTATAAACATTTAATTCCATCTGGTTTATATTTGGTTTTGGGGCACCTCTACACGTCATCAATCAATAAAAACTATGTCAAGTGTAAAACGAGGGGATGATAACTTCTTTTCGACCAATCATATCATTTAAAGTCTGTTCGGCTAAGTTGTCTTTCTTTTTGCCACGTTATGTATTAAAACGTTCGATTAATACAGGTTTGTAAGTTGCAGATTTACCAGAAAGTAGTTACAAATTCAAATATCTACAACATGTTTTTTACAGCTTGTGCAACATTTTTTCGGTTAACGGCATTTAAAGAAACAAATACGTAAGTGAACTATCTGCCTGGTTTCTGTGTCCCCAATTTTGGTTGTGTATATTTAATAACTTTACTATGATTTGCACTATTACTTGTGCCGTCATTGTTCTGTGAATGAACAGGTCATAAGGGTGGCAGAGTTAGTTCCCTTTGTCCATGTAATCAGCATATGTATCGGTAGTGTCAATAAGAACTCTTCTAGGTACATGTAATAAGGCATACACACCGTGCGGTTGGCCATTACAAGCTTTTCTTCTTTTCTGGAAGTTTGTGATACCATAATGTAAGTTTTGTACCTTTGCAATGATTAACATGTTATTTTACTGTGTAATTGAGACTGTTATGCTATTGTCGATGTTAACCCTGGCATTGTCGCGATAAACATTGCCATGTGGTTAATTCCATCAGTTTAGTCAGTCATGTCGACCAAGTACATTGTCCATAATAATTCATACAAATTATTGGGTCGAGTTGACCTTTGGCGAATTATTAGTGACATCATTAGGGAGAGTTAATACTGTAATAATTATTGTTAAACTTAGGAATCGCGGTTCTGTTAGAGCTATGTATTGTTCGTACGTGAATCTACAGGAGAAATAAATCACAATATTGTAAAGCATTTGAAAATTATGTTCAGGTCAGTATAGACATACCTCATCTTCATTTGTAAATCAACAAAAAATACTAATAGAAGTTCTTTTCTATTAGTTACAGTCCTTTACTTTAATACAACAATAAATTGCCACTCTAAATACGGCAGTCTTCGGGGTTTTCTGTGTATCGCCCAAGGCTGAAACGCCGCGGTGCAGGCACATTACTGCCAAAAATCTCATCATCGTGTGGAAATACTAAACTTGATTTCTTGTATCATTACAGGTAACATTGTTAATCTTGCAAGCATTGTAGCAGAGGAAGCGGTAAGATGGGTGTATTTCTTACTTCACAATGTGACAGTCACTTAATATTGCTCCATCTCCTGGTGTAAAAAATATTTCTCTCTTAATCGGCATATAAAAAGTTGTAAAAAGAGACAAGAAAGGTCACTTAATTTCAGTCCTTGTATTTAGCGTGTTTTAGAATAGTTACAAACGAAGCGACTTTGACTTAAATGCTGGGATTTTATTATTTCAATTTCAAAATATTAAATTATTTCAAAATCTAATTAATCTACTTTATTGATCTACGATGACAAAATAACAATATATATATATATATGATGTAGTAAATTTAATGTAAATTGATTGTATATTTACAGATGCCGTATACTGGCGTTTACGGAATGACTAAAGCAGCTGTGGCAATGTTTACAAAAACCCTGGCACTGGGTAAGGGCGACTCGAATAAAATAACATTATATACACCGCAAGCTTGAATGTTTTAAGGCAATGAAATATAGCAATACAGCATAATTTACAGAAACCTATAAACTGGACGTGATAGCTAGCCAATTGAAATCCGACAATAACCTGTGAAATGATTGTCACAGGTCGCTCGATACCAGACGCGACTTAGTAACGGTCATCAATGATATATATGGTAGACATATACTACATATTTTCTATTTCAGAAATGGCCCAGTTTGGAGTACGTGTGAATGAAGTAAGGTAAGATCGTTTAATACATTTTGTTTCTGTCTTTGATAGCGCTAGAAACATATGTAAATTGATGCATCGGCCGGCATACTATCTTCATCAAAATGTGTTCAATTATTACAGACCTGGCGTTGTGTTCACGAATTTCTATGATGGCATGACTGGCGGAAATACTGAGGTAAATATCATTTCTAAATGTATAAATATAAATGTAAGTAAGTGAAGTACTAAGTGATTAGTTGTTACATCATACCATGCTTGTTTGCATTAAATAGATCAATTATTCATGTTGCAGTTTAAATAATTCCGTTGAAGGATGATGTTTTGTATAAACTTCAGAAATGTGTTTACTAGATCTTGCAGAAAACGATGATGGGAGAAAATAGCAAACACCCAATGGGACGGCTTCCAAAAACCGAGGAGATAGCCAATGCAATTGCTTTTCTGGCGTCGGACATGGCGTCCTTCACAACCGGAAACGCCCTTTATGTCGACGGCGGACGTCACTGTGTTGGAGCTGGATTTGCTTCACGGCCAATGACCGCATGAAGCATAATTGTTATATGTAGCATAATGCAAAGGGCTGTTATGATACACATATTTAGATTTAACATAATATAATGCACATCGTCTTTATATCAGATGGTTGTTAACTTAATTCGCAGGCCTCAGCCAAAAATATAAGCAAAAATAGAATTGAAATTATTTGTTGTATTTGTGTGAACACATGGGTATGCATCAGATCGGAGTACTGATATCGAGAGCCTATCTCAGCTTTCCGTGACATTTTGGTAAATACTTTGTATTGATATCAACACTCTCTGCCAGGATTCCGTTAAAGTAAGGAAAACTGACAAAGACTACCTGTCTCGGCATTCCTTGACGGTATTGTATGCTGATATCAACAACTTTCCCCGGGATTCCGTGAACGTCTTGTATACTGATATCAAAACATGTCTCGTCTCGGGATTCCGTTAGTCAGCTATACAGTTATATGTATCAGCAACCTGTCTCGGGATTCCGGGGATCCGTTACAGTCAGGTATACTGCCAATGTCTTTGCATTTCGAATTTGCTGCCACATGATATAACAACTACAGTGGATGTATATCAAATAGTGTTTCGTGTTGGTTTAAAAACAGAAATAAACACGTTGAATATTTTCTTTTATTTATTCATATTTTTCTTTTCTTTTTTTTGGATTATGCATCAAACATAATAGATTACACGACCCAATGAACAACGTATAATGATAACAATTATATAAAGGATATCGCAAGTAAAATTTATGAAGATACAAAAGAAACTCTATATTGATAGTCTAAACAACGTTGGTTAAACAATAAATAGGATTAAGCACTGAACTAGCGAACTAGCTTGCACCGTCAAATAGACTAACTTAGAATGGTGAAGACGTTATGATTCAATGCTAGTAGTGAATCTTGATCATTTTATCAGCTCAATTCATAAACAATTACTGTACTTACCGTAATTAATGCACAGACATACACATTTCCCCTTTTCTACACTACGATATATATTACTACTCACATTTTGCTAAGAATCACCTATATTTTGAATAAAAAATCAAGAATTTAGAAAGGATATTATATTTTCCTTCCGGAAAGGTTTTGGGCGAATATGTTACCCTTCCAAATCGTCCTGTGTGGGTGTGTTCAGTCAACCATAAAAGCGCGCACACGTTTTTCCACGTGTACACCCCTTTCAAAAGCTAAGTAAGGCGTTGCTCAATTTGATAAGGAAATCAATTTGATGACCCCTGCGGTGTTTCAAAGTGTGGTGAATAGAATGTAGAATAATTTCCAAACTAACGGAAACCCTTCCAGACGTCTTGCTGAAGGTCGTTCAAAGGACTACAACGCACCGCCAAGACAGCTTAAGCTTTTTGCTCATACAGGCACGGCGTGACAGGTTCCAGACTGCCACAGCTTTACGAAATGACCTCCTAAATGCTTTTGGTACCCGGGTAGCCACTCAAGACAGTTAGGAACCGTCCTCATGATGCTGGTAAAGGCCACGGGACCAGCAATACGAGTTTCCTTAACTGCCAGCCATGTTAGGGACCGATTAGATTGCGCCCAGACTCACAGCAATTAGACTCTTAGGGAATGGAAACCGGTTCTTTTAACTGACGAGTCTAGATTCTGTCTCCACTTCACCGATGCGTTAGAGTATAGAGACAACACGGGGAGATGTTCCAGGCAGGTAACGTTGTGAAACATGACCGATATGACTGAGGTTCAGTGATGGTGTGGGCAGGCATAAGCCTTCGTGGGAAAACTGACCCCCAAGTCTTCCATAATGGTACCCAGATTTACTGCATGCAATCCTTGATGCCTATGTCAGACACTATCGGCCCTGGCTTCATCATTATGGACGATGATACTAGGCCACATAGAGCAAGAGTGACTGAGCAGTATCTACAGCAAGAGACTATTCAACTGTTCATGGGGCATGCTGCACACAGCTCTCTCTGCCAGAAATGTTCATCCAAGAACGCTCCAGGAGCTTGGAACAGTCTCGGTAGCCGAATGAAACACTTTCACACAAAACCGGATACGCGATCTCATTCGGGGCATGCGCAGACGTTGTGAAGCTGTAATTGATGCTAAGGGTAACCCTTTTCCTGTTGCTCATTTTCCGACTTAAATAATGCTTTTGGAATTTTTGCATGCTGATGAATTAAAAGGACAATCAAAATGTGAGTAGTACATATACATAACTGTTATTCATTTCAGAACTAAGTATAATAACTTGTTTTCACCGAACAGACTATAAAATCAGTGTCGGCACACAGTTCATCCGTCTTTCCCTTGTCGTATATCACAATTAGTTATATGATTACACTAACTATAACAATTGTTCTGGATTTGGTGACTATAAACCATACAAACGAAATAAGAGATTTTAATAATTAACAGACATTTGTATAGTTCGAAATCTGATAGAAGGAATAATTTCTCGAAAAAGAACATGCTGGCTCCTTAATTGAAAGTAATACATTCGTGTTTCTTGTGAGGTATTTTCTTAAAGAATAAGGCTTCATCTACAACATTAAACCCATTTATAAGCAAGGTGTATGTTTAATTTCTTTAATTAACTGGGTCGTGTACTATTTTCCTTTCTCAAATGATATTGTTTGGTTGAGGCCTCTTGAGTTCCAACATCCATCAAAAATTAAAACCTTTCAGTGAGTTTTAAAATTATCAAGTCAAATTTGACTACTTCCCGATACTTTTATGACAAATCAAATTCGTTTTCGTTTTTAATTAGTGCTAAATGAATAAAGTATGTATAAGAAAAGTGAAAGCACCAGTTAATATGTCTTTAGGGGAAGACGTTTGTTCCAGAATGAAATACATATCCGTGGTTGTTAAATGTAAACAATGATTAAAAAAGAAAACAAAAAGGAAAACATAGAAACCCTGACAAAAGTAACTAAATTTTCAAATTTTATAAATTGATGCGAATTTACCTAGATTCTAAAAAAAACACTTGTCGTAATTGTATTGCAGAAGTATTCAAACTATACTTTTATCAACGTTGGTGTATTTTTGGGGCTAACATCGCCTGAGCCATACATGTTCTTTTGAAGGAATTCATAAAAGAAATGTTGACAGCTACTGTGTGATTGAGTATATTTAATAATTCTATGTTGATGTCTTTTTTGACAATAACAGACAGGACCAACTTACAAATAATTTTACAGACGATGTATCGGCACTAACTAAATAAATTATCATTTTGATTGGCAACTAAGCCATTGAACATCAACCGCCAAGTACAGACATATTGAAGAAAGGACTTGCAAACACTACTATAAATGATATATTCTAGATAACTAACAACACCATAAATAGAAAATGTGAAAAAAGTATCTATATCGTAATTCAGTCAATGACCTTATTGTAGAAAACCTATTACATATCCAACCTTATAAAAACAGTATCAAACAAGGCAGAATTGAAGTAGAGGATCAAGACACGAGGACGGCCTTTAACAAGACTCGTGTAATACTTTGAGAAATTCAAGATACCAGCAATATAGATATACGTAGATTTCGCGCATAACTGTGTGTAGTAAAATGGTGTAGGTCTGCTAAAGACACGTTGGTGCGTTAGTTTATCTCTTTCACAATACATATATCGCCCAACTTAATATATAAGGCACCGTAGACATACATGTAATAGCAGAGCTTATGTCAATAAAGTTATGTCAGAACCTCACATTAACGAAATAAACAGAAACAGTAGTGTGATACTGTTGAAAATACCACATGTTCGAAAACTGGTAAGACAAAATGTCTACCGTAAAAGCAAACATGTCTAACCAGGCAATCAGCAGAGTTTAAAGTATACAGAAGAATAAAAATTATTTGAACGTATTTTTTATATTTTGTTTTCCGTGTAAATATAAAATTTCGTTTCTAATGCTAACAAAATATAGGTATCACTTTATAACCTCTTCTGTTTAAGTATACGAAGTGCACCAATGATTACACTGGCATAGATTGTCTGCGGTTTAACTTCACCTGTCTGTACACACCAACTTAAGGCTATACTGCGGTTTAACTCCACCTGTTTGTACACACCAAAGTTAGGCTACATTGCACACATTGCCCATACAGAATTTATCGTGACCAAAATCTGCACGCCGTCGTATTTGTTCTGAAATATAAAAAGAATATGAATGTTCATATTCTGTATGAAAACGCAAAGTCAGAACCGTGTCACAGTCTCAGGAATACATTTATATACCATGTATTGATCAGGGACCAACACACGTCAGGGCATGTTACAAGTTGAAAAGTTATTGAAAGTAAAACAGATTGGTTTGATGATTACGTTTGTGCCGAAATCGCCTCAAGGCAAATGAGAAATTCATCTCTTTTCATTTGCATTCTTTAGGTCATTAATAACGTCATTAACTTACATGAAATTATCTATTATTTATTGGCATTTGTCCAATACAATGAACATATCCTACTCGGTGTCATACATGGAATCAGGCGTCTTAAATGACCTTAGTTCTTGATAAAACCTGAAAACCTAAAACCTAAAAACGAAAACTGTTTAATGTATACAAAAACAATATGGTCAATAATGAAATGTGAAATAAAATGGAATATATAACTAAACTACATCGTTATGTCTGTACTACACAACACTTGCCATACCTGCCAGCACCCGTCTGTCAATTGCCACTAACGATTCAAACAGTAGTTTCATGATATTTTCGTCTTTTCGGACTCCGTGTAGCCATATCATCATCAACCGGAATCCGTGTTCTTTATAACTGCTAGTTCCTGAATGTTGTACAAAACATAAACTATACAAATCCTGAAAACCTAATGCTTCATGGTAAATATGATACGAAATTATTTGTCATTTACCTTCCCTGGACATTAACTGTCGTTACAATATTTCTTACCGATACCTTATCCCTTTTGCATATGGACTACAGCGTTATAGCAATGAAGGGAAATAACTCACCAACATCAAGCTTACACTTTTCCGTCTTTCTCTTTATTATTCAAAACGCCCATAAAGACAATTTATAAACAAAAATAAATAAATAAAACGAATAATTATGAATGCTGTGTGAATATATGGCAGTATTCAATGTTTTCACCTGTTACTTTTAACAATGCAAAAGAGTTCCAATCTGATACAGTAAAAGTAACTAAATAAAGTCCGTATACTGAAAAAAACTGATTTCGATAATACAAAATGAGAATTTACTTACTCGTTAGTACATATGTGTGCATGCTGCAGTTACTGTTAATTACCTATGTTATCAACTGACATACCTGTGTATTGATGTTCTATGGCGCGGACATGTTCGGCTGTAAACTTCCATTGTATGGCGAGTTTCTTCCAGTCCCCAGGTTTCAGCTGCTTTGTTGCTAATCGCCAGAGAATATCTTTCATTTGGATGGATGATGGGTGGATGGGTTGTCTGAGGTACCGATGTGGATCAACATAGTCGAGCTCCTTCTCGTGGTAGTCCTGAGGAAGGTATTGGTTACGTCTTATTATCTAGCGCTAGGGTCAGTCCGGACATATATTCCGTACATTACCAGTAGTTTTGTTTATGTTCAGTCTTATGTCAAATAGACATAAGAATCAAAAGATGAAGTCAACCATCGTATGTCAGTAGCGTGTCAATGTCACCAGCGCTAGTTGGTTTTAGGAAATTCAATTTTGAATGATCTTAATCAAAGTAAGACATTGTATAATAAATTGTATATTCAAATATCAAAGCTGAAAATTTAGAAGCAAAATAAAAGATATTCGCAAAGACATCAAAGTACAAAATGAAAAACAGAACTAAATTCTTGCTGGAACAAAGACAACAAATTCAACAGAACAATCGCAAAGAGAAATATGAAAACAACATGATCCTAACAAAACAAGAAGGCTAAACAATTTGTCCCGACACGTTAGGTGTTTCCTGTACTGCGTGTTGATAAGTTTCTAAAAATGCAGTAAAACACACCATAGTAGGTCGGTCACTAATTTCAGTTAAGTTGAAATATATGGATCATAAAATAGGAAGAAAATGAATGTTTTCAGTAGGTCCCCTTTTTCACACAAGTTATTTCTTACCGTGATCATTCATGTTGTTCATAGTACATATATGACTTAACGATTACTAGGAAATGTACGAAGGAAGAAAAACAACTGTATACCATTTAGTTTTGTCATTGTAGGGAGCCAAACAAAGCAAACATTTTTCTGCATCATATTGTCATTACGCTAAACAAGGATTCACCAATTGAAGGAATGAAAGAAACATGTCTATGTCGTTCCAGGTGCCTCAACAATAAGAACGCATATGGGGGTCCACGATCAATCCTTTTTTTTGTATATTCAAATTATAAACCCGTATTCTTAACACATTAAAAAACTGAATAGTTGTTCACGTGGTGATTAGGAAAAACATATTATATGCTCACCCTTGCTACAGCGTAGTACCGTTCTGCTTTGATGACCATGTCAACAATAGCAACAAAACTGCCTCGGGACGCTAGCTGTAACGGGGTTTTCCCTAACTGGAAAAAAGTAAATGTAGTGTATGGCCTACAATATATCTGATATACAAAGGATGGTTATCCATTAAATTATAAAAAAAAGTCCAAAAAGGATTGTTATCAAATCAATACGTCGAAATCATAACTCGTTCCAAACGAACAAACTGAGTATTACCCGATTTTTCTGGTGAGGTTAACTTGACATTATATTATAAATTGAATATATGTAGTTTAGATTTGACAGATTTGTCGTATAGACAAAACAATGGCCACAGCTAATGGCCGTTTGATACATTATGACATTATTATTCGTAAATTGATAGTCATTAGCGCTCAGATACTAAATGTCTTGATTATAATGGACAACATCAATAAGGATGGTACCTTTTCCTTAGTGAGCAGACTGGCTCCCCCCGCTAACATAACCTCGACCGTGTCCTGGAACCCGTTCTCCACTGCCACGTGAAGAGGTGTTTGGGACCTCTGTAAATATATATAAACATCTATTCATATCTATTTATAAAACGAAATGTATGCATATCGGGCTTATTCTGTAAATATGATAGACTTTGGAAAGCATGAACTCACTTTAATTTATAGCTAAATCTGAAGAATCTGGGACGTCCAATGTATCTCTGCATCAATAATACATGTTATCATGACACATATATCTTTGACAGACCATACACAATCTCGATGATGTCTCAGTGCATCCCTACATCAGTTAGGAGTGGTAGTATAAGGCAGATAATGAAATCACAATACTTTGTAACGTCTTATCATCCAGTGGCATAACGGAAAAAAATTCGATATTGCCTTCCCTTGTACCTATCATTATCATATATTTGTCCGTGATTTGAGTTGTTTGTACATGTGATACTGTTGGCTGTGTAGCATTATTATCAAGACTCGCACCACATCTGACTGGCACGTGCTATATCTGTTTTACCATTGCTTTATCGTATAACGACCCAATTGCACTAATTACACTGGATTTCAGGTATTGCTAAAATGATGCGCAATGCCACTACGGCTAGATAGCGTCTGGGTTTCTTACTGTCAATGATTGACCATATCGCAAAAATATCACGAAAATTGGTTTTTAAAGAAAAATAAGAATCAATAACTTACAAGATTTGCTAGATCTATTTGAGCGTTTGACTCCACAATGAGCTGTGCGACCTCTTTGTAATTCCCTGTGGCGGCAAGATGTAAAGCTGTGTTCCCTTGCTGTTAAAATACAAAATAGCCCGTACGTTAGACTGTATCAATTGATGTGTCAGAGTACTAGTAGTAACGTTCACCAACGATAGTCCAACCGTACATTACCCGGCCCTATTGCTATGGTTCACCTTTATAACTAGCGTTATTTAACTTAGACATGTCTCATATAACAAACTATATTAGGTGAGTATAAATACAGTGTACTGTATGGAATAATCTATCAATATTGGCAACCTGACAACTCTATAATTTACAAGAAATGTTGCCAGTTGACATATATTTATAATACCTTTTAAGACAAATTAACAAAACCCATAACTTTGGTACTAGGCCTCGACTTTTAGACTTTCAGTGTTCCTAAGAACCAGGGAAGAGGTGTAAGGTATGCTATTAATTTGGTTATTTTCACATTACCTTATCTTACTAATGTTCTATTATATAATGATAATTACATGACACACATACATATCGTTCTTTTATGAAAGTTGCAAACAGACGATCATTACATATTTGTAGCAGTATAAGATTGAATACACAAACTTACAAAGTTCTGAGCATTGATATTAGCACCGTGCTCTATTAGTGATTTGGCTACGTCGTAATGACCATGCATTGCAGCCAAGTGCAAGGGAGAAAACTCTTTCTGAAAAGAGACATGAACGCATTTTTACTGTTGTGGAGAGAGTAAATTGATACAAACTAATTCTAATATTATGTATATGCTATTCAAATACAAATCTTGCTTTGTATAATACTAGTACTAGACAGAGATATTTCAACTCCTCCATGGCTCGTCAGGATACATATGCATCATATTAAATAACCAATATCAATTATTCAGCTACAGCATACATTAATGTGGCTTTTTGCGAAACTATTTTGCAATTTTGTAGAATAGTACCGAACAAGAACGATATTATATAGCTCATCAAATCGTCAATTAAAACCAGAAAAATCATAATTATATTGTACATTAAAATTTCGTTTTATTGCCATCTTATCTCCAACAATGTTTATGCGTTATAAAAGTGCTTGGCGACATTTTCAAAACTTTTAAATCAAAACGGTACCTTAACAGATATTGGTGACCAGCAAAGTAGTAAATAAAAACGGAAATATGTTGTCATTAAACATATAGTTTCGAACACATTAGAACAAGTACCAATACTGTAGTTAAATAGCACTCACAATGGTCTCAGCGTTACACCCTACATTGTACTCCACCAGCACATCAACCACGTCTGCATGACCTCTTTCTGCTGATATATGTAACGCTGTCCGCCCATCCTTCAACAACAAATTGAAAACCGTCAATAAATTGAGATCAGACCAAGGTTGTGTGCAATATAACATCACAGAAAAAGAATTGGCTTGACAAACATACCACATATCTAGTGAGATGGTTTAGGAGCAGTTGGTTACTATGGTTCTGAGGAGATGGTTTAGGAATAGTCAGTACTTACCTTTTCTCTCGGGAGAAAGTTTAGGAGTAGTTGGTACGTTCAAGTCACTAATGAGATGATTTAGGAGTAAAATATACTTGTCACGTCCCTATTGAGATTTTTATTTAGTAATTAATATTTGCAACGTCCATGGTGTGGTGGTTTAGGTGGAGAAGGTACTTACAACGTCCCTATTTACATGGTCTAGGAGTAGTTAGTACTTACCACATCTCTGTCATTGATTTCCACACCCACCATGAGAAGGCGTTTGATCACCTCCACGTGACCGTGCCGGGCTGCCAGGTGAAGTGCTGTCTCCCCAACCTATCAGTGACACGGTACATAAATAGGAAAGGAAAACGACACATCATCAATCTAAATGTAATTCAACATTATCTCAACAGATATTTCAAACAACCAGATTACAAATAATTGAATATAAAGGAAGATATATGTAGCACTCAGATATAAACTTGAAAACCAATTTGTTATGGATATATTCACAGGTCTGTTGCACCATTTATTGTTATATTTTGGTTCCTTCAAAGTGAATTTACTATAAAGGGCATCATCCTTAAACGCTGATTAAGATCGTTAGCGTGTCATATGGCATTTATCTGGTGTCTGTCTGGTTGGGTGCGCGGAAGTTCCGTTACCTTGTCGCGCTTATTGACATCAGCCTGCATGTCTATGAGCCGCATCACAGTCTCTAAATGACCTGCTTCCGCGGCTAGATGTAGTGCTGTCCGCTCTCCCTACATAAATACAACACTTTTTTTTTTAAACTATTGAACGGTCTTAGGAATGAATCGACATAAAACGATCAATTTAATTGGTGAAATGTTTTTAATTCGATAACATCTACTGCAACAACTTCTTTGTTAGGTAATCCATTTGGCGTTGCATTTAGTATTGCTTTTGTGATTATGATGTAATAAACAATAATGTCTCTGAAGCACATTATTATCAAAAATAAAATCGTTTTGCTTTCAAGGTCTCAATATCTTAATATCTCTGGTTTTAATCAAGCTAACTCAGTTACGCCCTGCAATTGTTGGTATTTATAGACACATTGTCTCTACCGAAATCTAACTAAAGTCACTTAAAAACCCGATATAGGTTAGGACTAGTACTCAGATTAATTTAGAATGGTATTTCCTCCGTAGATGTGTGCCGTTGCACATGGCTATTGAACATATCGATTTTTATATTAATGTATAAAACTATTATCTCATTAATATCAATAGCTGTATGTACTTCTTGTTTGTGTAATTTCATTATTATTATAATTGTAAACTATTCACATTTTTTTTAAATAAATAGGTGTACAACCTTGTCACACTCTCATATATTACCTTTTGACTATGTATACTCTCTTTCTTCTATTATCGACAAATACGTCGAGTTAATGTTATTTTTCATAACAATTGCATATGATCTCGATTGTATTATAGCTGAATATTTACTTCATTGTCCTTTATATTACAAATGTATTTATAGTAGCTTTGCATTGCAATTGGATATGATTTAGCTTTTATTGTAGATATATTAGTACTTCTATGTAATACTAATTACATAGCATTACCTGTCCATTACAGGAGTACATGTGTACGATTTGCCTTCGAAAATTGACATGAACCTTGTCATACTTATTGAATACGTACTACCTTTTCCATTTCATTGACGTCGACGTTTTCGAGAGATTCCAGCACGAAATTTATGACATTAACGTTGTTGTTCTGTGAAGCACAGTGGAGTATACACATCCCTTGCTGAAACACAGATATCTGGAATTGTTACGCACATTTAACTAATCAAAAGACAGTAATTGTTCACCATGTTTAAAAGGTCAAAAAGCAAAAACGAAAACAAAACAATCACTGAGACATAATGAATACGCCACAAGCCATGCTACAGAAAGACAAAGGTATTTTATATATATATATATACTATGTTTCATTCTAAACTTTACAGTTGTTTTCATCATAGATGTTGATGGATTATGAAAACAACGTTATAATATAGCAAACTTTCAGTTGATACTATAAAAAATTATAATCAAATTCAGGGATTCAACGAGGTTGGAATGAATCACGAATACGTAAAGTAACGCACCTTGTTAGAACATTTAGCAGTAGCACCAGAGTTAATGAGTAGTTTGAGGGCGTCCAAGTGACCAAACCAGGCTGCCCATAAAACTGGCCGCATACCATACTGAAATAAAATAAACAGCATCGTCAGAAGCCAATACAGAAGATATGCAGGCGGTAAATCAGGAGCAGTTGCATACACAGCATAACAAATAGCCAACTCACTGTTCTGAAGTCATGACAACATGATCAGTTGCCGACACAACATGATCAATAGTCGACACAACATGATCAATAGTCGACACAGCATGATCAGTAGTCGACATGCAATTATGAGTAGTCCATACAGCATACACATGACCAATAGTCGACCAAAATATGACCAATGTTCGACACAACATGATCAATAGTCGACACAGCACGATAAGTAGTCGACATGCAATGATCAGTAGTCGATACAGCATACACATGACCAATAGTCGACCAAAATATGATCAATGGACGACACAACATGATCAATAGTCGACACAGCACGATCAGTAGACGACATGCCATGATCAGTAGTCCATACAGGATACACATGACCAATGGTCGACACAACATGATCAATAGTCGGCACAGCACGATCAGTAGTCGACATGCAATGACCAGTAGTCCATACAGCATACATATGACCAATAGTCGACACATCACGATCAGTAGTCGATATCCCATGATCAATAGTCCATACAGCATACATATGACCAATAGTCGAAAAAATATGATCAATGGTCGACACAACATGATCAATAGTCGCCACAGCACGGTCAGTAGTCGACATGCAATGATCAGTAGTCCAGACAGCATACACATGACCAATAGTCGACCAAAATATGATCAATGGACGACACAACATGATCAATAGTCGACACAGCACGATCAGTAGACGACATGCCATGATCAGTAGTCCATACAGGATTCACATGACCAATGGTCGACACAACATGATCAATAGTCGACACAGCACGATCAGCAGTCGACATGCCATGATCAGTAGTCCATACAGAATACATATGACCAATAGTCGACAAAATATGATCAATGGTCGACACAACATTATCAATAGTCGACACAGCACGATCAGTAGTCTACATGCAATGATCAGTAGTCCATACAGCATACATATGACCAATAGTCGAAAAAATATGATCAATGGTCGACACAACATGATCAATGGTCGACACAACATGATCAATGGTCGACACAATATACAACATGATCAATGGTCGACACAACATGATCAATAGTCGCCACAGCACGGTCAGTAGTCGACATGCAATGATCAGTAGTCCATACAGCACACATATGACCAATAGTCGACAAAATATGATCAACGGTCGACACAGCACGATCAGTAGTCGACATGCCATGATCAGTAGTCCATACAGGATACACATGACCAATGGTCGACACAACATGATCAATAGTCGACACAGCACGACATGCCATGATTAGTAGTCGACATGCCATGATCAGTAGTCCATACAGCATGTCCAGTTGCCTACACATGACCAATAGTCCACAAAAAATGATCAATGGTCGACACAACATGATCAATGGTCGACACAATATACAACATGATCAATGGTCGACACAACATGATCAATGGTCGACACAACATGATCAATATGCGATCATATCAGTAATCAACACGACATGATCCATAGGCGACACAACGTGATCAGTAATCAACACAACATGAACCGTATTCGACACAACGTGATCAGTAATAAACACTACATGATTGGTAGTTGACAGAACATGATTAGTAGTCGACACACCAGGATCAGTTGCCGAAACAACAAGTCGACCCAATATGCAAATCATAGATACAGCAAATGGAAATGAAAATGACCATGATAAAAGGAAATTATCAAAATGATTTAAAAATATGTGTGAGATGTAAATGGCTGATGTCAAACTTTAAATATAAGGGAACTTAAATGGAATATGCTCTTTAAATAACATATCTAAGGAAAGCGGCATGCGTAGAGATTTAAAACTTGTTTAAATCATTCGGAAAGCAAGAGGAATGCTTAATGAAATAATTATGAACCGTATATTTTATGACAAATTTTGTATGTTGTATGATGTATTTGCTTACATCCCACATCCTAAATCTTGAACCAAGTTTTCAAAAATGTATCCATGATCGTCACGTAATGAAAGAACATTCTCGATACGTCACGAGAAAGAAGTGGTATAGTACTAGTACTTGATTGTAAAGGGGTTCGCTTTCTTACAACATACAGCATTTGCAATTGTTAGTCGCATCTTAACAAGACAAATTAGACATGAGTCTATGTATAGCTGGTAGCCCTGTAGGTGTCATTACCTTGTCCTTAGCCTCCAGATCCGCTCCTCCTTCGATCAATTTCTCAATGATAGCCGTATTGCCATTAGCAGCAGCCCAGTGAAGCGCTGTTCTGTCCAGCTGTGGTTAAAAATTAACAGTAAGATCAAATACAAATTGTACTAACTGTGTCAGAAGAAAGCACTAAAAATATTTTTCTTGCAAATTTCAGCTAGCTTGGCATTGATTCAACCAATGAGAATTCTGCAAGCACACTTAAAACAGTGATCAGTAGATCAGCATGTTATATATTTTAATTAAAATAAAAGAAGGAAGCTTATAGAAATTGTTTGATTAGAGAGTCATACAGGCGTTTACAATTAAACAAGAAACAACGCAATTAAAGGAAGCAACAACAGGGCAAAGTTATTATTACATATACAGTATTATCTATTTAACATATAATAAGAATCTTATTAACCAGATCAATTGTGTCACTTTTGGCCTCATTCACATCATCTCTTTAACTGCATTAATATTAACCAATACCCATACAATGGATGTGTATGTGTAGTAATAATGTCAAACGGTCAATAAACAGAACAGAGCAATACCCTTACAATGGATGTGTATGTGTAGTAATAATGTCAAACGGTAAATAAACAGAACAAAGTAATACCCATACACTGGCTGTGTATGTGTAGTAATAATGTCAAACGGTCAATAAACAGAACAAAGTAATACCCATACACTGGATGTGTATGTGTAGTAATAATGTCAAACGGTCAATAAACAGAACAAATCAATACCCATACAATAGATGTGTATTTGTAGTAATAATGTCAAACGGTCAATAAACAGAACAAAGCAATACCCATACAATGGATGTGTATGTGTAGTAATAATGTCAAACGGTAAATAAACAGAACAAAGTAATACCCATACACTGGATGAGTATGTGTAGTAATAATGTCAAACGGTCAATAAACAGAACAAAGCAATACGCATATGAGACATTTTGAATGCGAAGAAAAGGATAGTCCTTGCCCTGAGGGTAGGATTGAGAAATCATCCCCCTAAAGAGACTACTGTGATAGTTTAATCGGAGGCAGTTTTTTTCACTTTAGCCGAAGGTTAGAAAGTCAATGCTCTTCCCTAAGAGTCGATATTTCGTTTCCCTACCATTAAGATTGGTAAAGATGTGTTTACTTTATCATTATCCACAAGATCAAATGTCAAAAAGGAAAATACACTTATGTAAAGCAATGCCTATATGTTTGCACAATGGCAGTGCTATTATAATTGGTCATCGGTAAGTGAACATCTATCTAACTGTTACAGAAAAATATAATCTTTCCAAATGTCCAATGGAGGAGAATAACTAAATATTACGTTTTTACACACGACGTATTGAAAATATTTATTCTTCAAAGTCAGGACACACCAAAACAAAATTAGAAAACAAACTAACGTTGTTTTTACAGTTGATGTCCACTCTGTCCGAGAGAAGTTTCTCTATGGCCGGTAAATCGTTCTCTTTGGCAGCATTGTGGAAGTTGATTTCACCCTTGGTCACTGTCAACACAAACAAGAACAGGCTTACACAGGGTTCATCTACAACGGGACACTGTCAACACAAACAAGTATAGGCTTACACAATGTTTATCTACACCGGGACACTGTCAACACAAACAAGTATAGGCTTACATAATGTTCATTTACACCGGGACCCGGTCACCACAAACAAGTATAGGCTTTCACAATGTTCCTTTACACCGGGACACTGTCAACACAAACAAGTATAGGCTTACACAATTTTCATCTTCATCGGAACACTGTCAACACAAACAAGTATAGGCTTACACAATGTTCATCTACACCGGGACACTGTCAACACAAACAAGTATAGGCTTACACAATGTTCATTTACACCGGGACCCGGTCACCACAAACAAGTATAGGCTTACACAATGTTCCTCTACACCGGGACACTGTCAACACACACAAGTATAAGTTTACACAATGTTCATCTACACCGGGACATTGTCAACACAAACAAGTATAGGTTTACACAATGTTCATCTACACCGGGACATTGTTAACACAAACAAGTATAGGTTTACACAATGTTCATCTACACCGGGACACTGTCACCACAAACAAGTAGAGGTTTACACAATGTTCATCTGCACCGGGACACTGTCAACACAAACAAGCATAGGCTTACACAATGTTCATCAACACCGGGACACTGTCACCACACACAAGTATAAGTTTACACAATGTTCATCTGCACCGGGACATTGTTAACACAAATAAGTATAGGTTTACACAATGTTCATCTACACCGGGACACTGTTAACACAAACAAGTATAGGTTTACACAATGATCATCTACACCGGGACATTGTCAACACAAACAAGTATAGGTTTACACAACGTTCATCTACACCGGGAAAATGTCACCACAAACACGTATAGATTTACACAATGTTCATCTACACCGGGACACTGTCACCACAAACAAGTTTAGGTTTATGTTCATCTACACCGGGACACTGTCAACACAAACAAGTATAGGCTTACACAATGTTCATCTACACCGGAACACTGTCACCATAAACAAGTAAAGGATTACACAATGTTCCTCTACACCGGGACACTGTTAACACAAACAAGTATAGGTTTACACAATGATCATCTACACCGGGACATTGTCAACACAAACAAGTATAGGTTTACACAACGTTCATCTACACCGGGAAAATATCACCACAAACGCGTATAGATTTACACAATGTTCATCTACACCGGGACACTGTCACCATAAACAAGTAAATGATTACACAATGTTCCTCTACACCGGGACACTGTCAACAAAAACAAGTCTAGGCTTACACAATGTTCATTTACACCGGGACACTGTTAACACAAACAAGTATAGGTTTACACAATGATCATCTACACCGGGACATTGTCAACACAAACAAGTATAGGTTTACACAACGTTCATCTATACCGGGAAAATGTCACCACAAACACGTATAGATTTACGCAATGTTCATCTACACCGGGACACTGTCACCACAAACAAGTATGGCTTACACAATGTTCCTCTACACCGGGACACTGTCAACAAAAACAAGTCTAGGCTTACACAATGTTCATTTACACCGGGACACTGTCAACATAAACAAGTATAGGCTTACACAATGTTCATCTACACCGGACAAGTATAGGTTTACACAACGTTCATCTACACCGGGAAAATGTCACCACAAACACGTATAGATTTACACAATGTTCATCTACACCGGGACACTGTCACCACAAACAAGTATAGATAGGCTTACACAATGTTCATCTACACCGGGACACTGTCAACACAAAAAAGTATAGGTTTACACAATGTTCATCTACACCGGGACACTGTCACCATAAACAAGTAAAGGATTACACAATGTTCCTCTACACCGGGACACTGTCAACAAAAACAAGTATAGGCTTACACAATGTTCATTTACACCGGGACACTGTTAACACAAACAAGTATAGGCTTACACAATGTTCATCTTCACCGGGACACTGTCAACGCAAACAAGTATAGGCTTACACAATGTTCATCTACACCGAGACACTGTCAACAAAAACAAGTATAGGCTTACACAATGTTCATTTACACCGGGACACTGTCAACAAAAACAAGTATAGGCTTACACAACGTTCATTTACTCCGGGACACTGTCAACACAAACAAGTATAGGTTTATACAATGTTCATCTACACCGGGACACTGTCACCATAAACAAGTAAAGGATTACACAATGTTCCTCTACACCGGGACACTGTCAACAAAAACAAGTCTAGGCTTACACAATGTTCATTTACACCGGGACACTGTTAACACAAACAAGAATAGGCTTACACAATGTTCATTTACACCGGGACACTGTCAACACAAATAAGTATAGGCTTACACAATGTTCATCTACACCGGGACACTGTCACCACAAACAAGTATGGCTTACACAATGTTCCTCTACACCGGGACACTGTCGAAAAACAAGTATAGGCTTACACAATGTTCATTTACACCGGGACACTGTCACCACAAACAAGTATAGGCTTACACAATGTTCATTTACACCGGGAAACTGTCAACACAAATAAGTATAGGCTTACACAATGTTCATCTACCCCGGGACACTGTCAACACAAACATGTATAGGCTTACACCATGTTCATCTACACCGGGATACTGTCACCACAACAACTGTCAACACAAACAAGTATAGGCTTACACAATGCTCATCTACACCGGGACACTGTCACCACAAACAAGGATAGGCTTACACAATGTTCATCTACACCGGGATACTGTCACCACAACAACTGTCAACACAAACAAGTATAGGCTTACACAATTTTCATCTTCATCGGAACACTGTCAACACAAACAAGTATAGGCTTACACAATTTTCATCTTCATCGGAACACTGTCAACACAAACAAGTATAGGCTTACACAATGTTCATTTACACCGGGACACTGTTAACACAAACAAGTATAGGCTTACACAATGTTCACCTACACCGCGACACTGTCACCACAAACAAGTATAGGCTTACACGATGTTCATCTACACCGGGACACTGTCAACACAAACATGTATAGGCTTACACCATGTTCATCTACACCGGGATACTGTCACCACAACAAGTATAGGCTGACACAATGTTCAAACAAGTATAGGCTAACACAATGTTCCTCTACACCGGGACACTGTCACCACAAACAAGTATAATTTAGGATTATGTTCATCTACACCGGGACACTGTCAACACAAACATGTATAGGCTTACACCATGTTCATCTACACCGGGATACTGTCACCACAACAAGTATAGGCTTACACAATGTCTATCTACACCGGGACACTGTCACCACAAACAAGTATAGGCTTACACAATGTTCATCTACACCGGGATACTGTCACCACAACAAGTATAGGCTTACACAATGTTCAAACAAGTATAGGCTAACACAATGTTCATCTACACCGGGACACTGTCACCACAAACAAGTATAGGCTTACACAATGTTCATCTACACCGGGATACTGTCAACACAACAAGTATAGGCTTACACTATGTTCATCTTCACCGGGACACTGTCAACACAAACAAGTATAGGCTTACACAATGCTCATCTACACCGGGACACTGTCACCACAAACAAGTATAAGCTTACACAATGTTCATCTACACGGACCACTGTCAACACAAACAAGTATAGGCTTACACTATGTTCATCTTCACCGGGACACTGTCTCCACAAACAAGTATAGGCGTACACAATGCTCATCTACACCGAGACACTGTCACCACGATCAAGTATAGGCTTACCCAATGTTCATCTCCACCGGGACACTGTCTCCACAAACAAGTATAGGTTTACTCAATGTTCATCTACACCTGGACACTGTCACCACGAACAAGTATAGCCTTACACAAGGTTCAATGTTCATCTTCACCGGGACACTGTCGCCACGAACAAGTATAGCCTTACACAAGGTTCATCTACACCGGGATACTGTCACCACAACAAGTATAGGCTAGGCTTACACAATGTTCATCTACACCGGGACACTGTCACCACGAACAAGTATAGGCTTACACAAGGTTCATCTACACCGGAACACTGTCAACACAAACAAGTATAGGCTTACACAATGTTCATCTACACCGAGACACTGTCAACACGATTTATCAACTCGGACTTACATATGTGTAAAATCCCTGTCACATATGAGAAATGTTTGTCACTTTCTGTAAAGATGAAATCTTATCATTGATCTGGTATTCATACGCAATACTCGCTAACAATCAATGACATATATTGAATATCGCATACGTTTGTGGAATCCGGTCTCTACATCATTGCTATGTCTGGTCCCTAACCCGTGATTAAACTCGTGTACAATGTAACAGCTACACAGCTGTGGCTCTAGATACCAGTAATGTGTACTTACTGTAACGGAACTAAGCTGGCTTCAAATTTGCGAAGCAAACATGTAACTCGTTTATTCATATACTCAATAAATACAAATGACATTAAAACATTGTTTTTTTTACGAAGTCACTCATTACTAAATATTAAGGTAGTACATTTTTTGTAACGTGGACTCGTGTTACCGTCAACGAACTTATATACATGTAACTTTAGCCTTTCCTCTCACACAAATTGAAAAACATGTTATTATCATGCAGTTCGGGTGTATATATACTTACATTGGTGGGGTATTCGTCTTTCAGTTTGACACAGAACAATAACTCTACAAACTCTTAGTAGCATCATTGACGAAGTGTAGGATCGACAGTGGCCAGGGCCTGAGTGGGACTAATGTCTTCTAAGCTTATTAGAAGGTGTTTTTTTCAATGCTCGAAACATGCTCGAAACTCGAACAATTCTTCTTCTGTACAATGCACCAGAAGATATGTTTCATGTGAGCGCGTACTGAAAGCAAGTGACTATCTTGTATGTACTTTGCGGGAACTTCGGAACACAACAAATTA